CCTGTTTGCTTCCATTTTCTAACCTCTGAGTCAATACGGGCGGCGCCTCCTCTCCCTCTCCCTCTCCCCCCCTCTCCCCGTCTGTCTGTCTGTCTGTCTTTCTTTCTGTAGCTCCTTTCTCTCCTTTTGTGGCTGCTCCTCTCCCTCTCTCTCTGGGTCTCTCTCTGCCGGTTTAACTCTCCCCCACCATCTTTCTCTCTGTTGTAGCTGCTCTTTCTCTCTCTCTCCCCCCATTTTAGCTGCTCTATCCCCCATCTCTCTGTCTCTGTCTCCCCCATTGTAGCTGCTCTATCCCCCCCTCTGTCTCTGTCTCCCCCATTGTAGCTGCTCTATCCCCCCCTCTGTCTCTGTCTCCCCCATTGTAGCTTCTCTCTCTCCCCCCATTGTAGCTGCTCTATCCCCCCATCTCTCTGACTCCCCCCATTGTAGCTGCTCTATCCCCATCTCTCTGTCTCCCCCCATTGTAGCTGCTCTATCTCCCATCTCTCTCTCTCCCCCCCTATTGTAGCTGCTCTATCCCCCCATCTCTCTGTCTCCCCCCCATTGTAGCTGCTCTATCTCCCATCTCTCTCTCTCCCCCCCATTGTAGCTTCTCTCTCTCCCCCCATTGTAGCTGCTCTATCCCTCTCTCCTTCTGTCTCCCACTCCCTCTCTCTGTCTCTCCCTGTTGTAGCCGCTCTTATCAGTCTCTCTCCCCTCCCCTCCCCCCTGTCCACACACAGCGGGGGCTCGGTGCTCAGTGTGACCGGTTCCCGTGATGCCCGGTGTGTGGCCGGGACACAATATAACCCCCTCTGCTCTGTCAGTCTGTCTGTCGGATACAAAGAAGCTGACGGGCGCCTAAAGCAGCCGTCGCTGCGCTGGCAGTCACAGGCCGGGCATTGGCAACGTAATAATCATCGTCGTCGTTATTATTATTATTATAACAGTATTCCTGGCATTTGACACAGCGCCCGATCGCGTCGCACTGAAGCGCTTCACGGGTTACAATGTATATTTCGTGGGTGAGACGCAGCAGCCAATTGCGCCGAGTGACGTCCCCTCAAACTGTTGTGGGTTAAAGGGGCCAATTTATTGTTTTTTCATGGAGGGGTTATTTAATGACCCTCCTCTCCCCCCCCCCCCCCCCCCCCCCCCCGGAAAGTGACCCACTCGCCAATCGACTAATAACTGGGTTCTTTCCGACTGCGGGGTCAGCGGTGGGGGATGTGGGGTGTGGGGGGGTAAGGAAACTTGACCAACGTTCCGCCCTGACCAGGGAATCCAACCGCTGAACTACAGGACTCCACTCCTGACCAGGCTCCACTGACCCCCACTCACACACCAACCCCCCCCCCCCCAGCTGACCAGGCTCCACTGACCCCACTCACACACCAACCCCCCCCCAGCCCTGACCAGCTCCACTGGCCCCCTCTCACACACCAACCCCCCCCCCCAGCCCTGACCAGGCTCCACTGACCCCCACTCACACACCAACCCCCCCCCCCCAGCCCTGACCAGGCTCCACTGACCCCCTACTCACACAGAACCCCCCCCCCAGCCCTGACCAGGCTCCACTGGCCCCCTCTCACACACCAACCCCCCCCCCCCAGCCTGACCAGGCTCCACTGACCCCCTCTCACACACCAACCCCCCCCCACCCCTGACCAGGCTCCACTGACCCCCTCTCACACACCAACCCCCCCCCCCCACCCCTGACCAGGCTCCACTGACCCCCTCTCACACACCAACCCCCCCCCACGACCCCCCCCCACCCCCCCCACCCCTGACCAGGCTCCACTGACCCCCTCTCACACACCAACCCCCCCCCACCCCTGACCAGGCTCCACTGACCCCCTCTCACATAACAGATTGATTTCAAGATCCTTTCACTTGTCCACAACCCGCTGGCACCTCCCTATCTCCCACCTGCTCACCCGCCCCAACCCACTTCAAGCTGTCAGCGCTCGGCTGGCTCCGGCCCCCCCGCCTGACTCTCACTCCCTCCGCTCCACCATCCAGCGGCCACTGCTTCGTGACATCCGAGACACTGCCCCCTATATGGGGTGCTGTGTAAGTGCAAGTTGTTGTTGGAGATGACTGTCTGAATCTGGCGATCAGCTCAACAATTAGACAGTGTTCAGCCCATCTCCTGACAGACCCCCTGTCCCTGTGGGTTACTACAACAGCCATTTGCATTTATACAGTGGCCTTCACGCCAGGCGGTGTCTCGCAGCACTTACAGCAGGGCTCAATAATAAAAAAATAACAATTTAATCGCTCATGAGAGCACAAGAATTTGCTAGACCAAAGAAGGCCATCCAGTTTGCCTTCCACCGTCCTGGCAGTCGCCTGCACACGTCGTGCCCCCGAACTATATGCTGTTTCCTGCACAAGATTTTTTTCTCTCCGCCCCCGACGCAAACCGATCGGATTTGATTTTTGTAAGGACCCGCACTTTCTGCTTCTGCCTTCTCCCTGAGGGAGCCTGTTCCGTGCATTTGCTGCTCGCTCACTGCAATGGATTCGCGGCTTGTTTCGCCCACAGAATTCGCAGTCACTACACTTTGCCTGGCACCTGTTCATTTAAATGGCCTGGTTCTGTTACAATACCGAATGACGTGTGCACAAGCGTCTTTCGTGTTGGGAGGACGTCCCAAGGCGGGGATTTGGACCTGAGCTGGGAGGGTGGCTGAACGTGTGGTCGAGGAGGAGGGTGTTGAGGCAGGGAGCGAGGAGGGGGAACTGAGACGGAGTTCCAAACGGTGGGGTGTTCAATGACTGATTGACCTGTGACCCTGCCTCCCCCCCTCAGTTCTGGGAAGTGATCAGCGATGAACACGGTATCGACCCGACCGGCACCTACCATGGCGACGGAGACCTGCAGCTGGAGAGGATCAGCGTGTATTACAACGAGGCCTCAGGTCAGTGTGTGTGTATGTGTGCGCGAGCCCAACACAGCCTGATATCCACCCTCCCCACCCCACACACACACACACACACACACACACACACAGCCCGACTGAGCCCCAACCGACCCCCAGTGCATGGCCCAACACCCCCTCACAGCCCAACACAGCAACCGTGGAGGCTGGCTGCCGTGTTTCGCCCCCAAATGCAGTCACTACACTTCACAGTATATCCCGCGAGGCGCTTTGCGAACTCCTGACCGTGTGGCGGGGCGCTGTGTGGAACGCACGGCTCATTTGTTGTGTCGGGGGTTAGTTACCGTGCTCGTTGTGTTCCAGGCGGCAAGTACGTCCCCCGGGCAGTGCTGGTGGATCTCGAGCCGGGAACCATGGACTCCGTGAGGTCCGGACCTTTTGGGCAGATCTTCAGACCGGATAACTTTGTCTTCGGTGAGTGCTTCAGGGGGCGGGAGGCAGTCGGTGGCTGGGACACAGAGAGAGAGAGAAACGTTTTGAGTTCAGAGTCTCTGTCCCTTGATGCACGTCTGTCTCTCGATCTCGCTGTCCCTGCTTCCCTGCGCGTCCTGTCCCCACCATGTGCCCCCAGATATACTGCCGCAACCTCAACAAGGTGACACTTACAGCGGCGCCTCCCGCGTCAGGAGGACTTCCCAAGGCGCTGGACAGTCAGGGATTTGGCCCCGAGCTGGGTGGGGGGGTGGTTGGGATCAGGGAGGGTCTTGAGACATGCCTTGAAGGAGGCAGGGGAGGAGGTGGGGGCGAGCGAAGGGAATGTGGGATGGAGTTACCTCAATGTTAGTCGTCAGGGTGGGGGGGTGTTGTGTGTGGAAGATCTCATTGTTGCTGTGTCATGGGTGGCTTAGAGTAATAAGTGAGCTTCAGACCACAAATAGTCATTTTGCCCCCACCCACACAGTCAGATCGCTTTACAGTACATCCTGTGAGGCACTTTGAGATGTCTCGACAATGCGATAAGGCGCTGTGACAAAGGCGAGGATTACTATTATCCCCGAACTAAACTGACCTCTATCCGATGACTGCTCTGGGATGTGTGTGAGGGTGGGGGGGAATGCCAGAGACTGTTCAGCTGATGCTCAGATGGTCTGGTCTAAAGGCCATTATTATAGCTCCTACGTTCCTCGCCTTTGCTTGAGTCACCAGCGAAGTCCGAATGAGCGGAGTGGCTGTGGTTGGTGTCTCATGGCTTAATGTAATTACTGTTCGGAGCCTGTGGCTTCCTCCAGACTGAAGGCGGCAGAGTAACCGCTGGGCTGTTCTGAACACACTCCCTCCCCTGCCCGGTTGGGTGATGCCTCTGTTCTGGGACAGCTCCTGCCGTTGGCTATTCCCAGTTTCCCCCTCTCTCTGGGCTTTGGTTGCCCAGATCCCTGCTGCTCCTGCTAACCTCCAACATCATCAACTACGACGCTGACAGCAATTTCTATAGCGCCCCTCATTCTCTCAGGGCAGCATCCCACAGCGCTCGGCTTCGGCGTAGGCCGAGGCATTAGACCCCCGATTCATTAAATGTTGGGTCTCGTCCTGCAGGTCAGAGCGGAGCCGGGAACAACTGGGCCAAAGGTCACTACACAGAAGGCGCTGAGCTGGTGGACTCGGTGTTGGATGTTGTGAGGAAGGAGGCCGAGAGCTGTGACTGTCTCCAGGGCTTCCAGCTGACCCACTCGCTGGGCGGGGGCACGGGCTCCGGGATGGGGACCCTCCTCATCAGCAAGATCCGCGAGGAGTACCCGGACCGCATCATGAACACGTTCAGCGTGGTGCCCTCGCCCAAGGTGTCGGACACGGTGGTGGAGCCCTACAACGCCACCCTGTCGGTGCACCAGCTGGTGGAGAACACCGACGAAACCTTCTGCATCGACAACGAGGCCCTGTACGACATCTGCTTCCGCACTCTCAAGCTGACCACCCCCACCTATGGCGACCTCAACCATCTGGTGTCGGCCACCATGAGCGGCGTCACCACTTGCCTGCGCTTCCCGGGCCAGCTGAACGCCGACCTGCGCAAGCTAGCGGTCAACATGGTGCCCTTCCCCCGCCTGCACTTCTTCATGCCCGGCTTCGCCCCCTTGACCAGCCGCGGCAGCCAGCAGTACCGTGCGCTGACTGTGCCCGAGCTGACCCAGCAGATGTTCGACGCCAAGAACATGATGGCGGCCTGCGACCCACGACACGGCCGGTACCTCACAGTGGCCGCCATCTTCCGCGGCCGCATGTCCATGAAGGAGGTGGACGAGCAGATGCTGAACATCCAGAACAAGAACAGCAGCTACTTCGTGGAGTGGATCCCCAACAACGTCAAGACAGCCGTGTGCGACATCCCACCCCGGGGCCTCAAGATGTCCGCCACCTTCATCGGCAACTCCACGGCCATCCAGGAGCTCTTCAAGCGCATCTCCGAGCAGTTCACCGCCATGTTCCGGCGCAAGGCCTTCCTGCACTGGTACACGGGCGAGGGCATGGACGAGATGGAGTTCACCGAGGCCGAGAGCAACATGAACGACCTGGTGTCCGAGTACCAGCAGTACCAGGATGCCACGGCGGAGGAGGCTGAGTTCGAGGAAGACTGTGAGGAAGATGTCAACTAGAAAGTCCTTTCGTTCGTTCCTTCCTCTTCCTCAGTCTAGTTTTTCTCTTTTTTTTTCTTTTCCCCCCCACCCCCCCCGCCCCCACTTTTGGAGTCTGTCCTTTTTCTGTCTCCTGCTGTCCTCAAAAGTCGTGTTGATTTGGGAGGTGACTGCGCCAACTTGTACTTTATTCCTTGCCAAATAAAGAGAAGCTGTTCACTGGCCAGTGTGTTTCAGGGTGACTCATTTCTTCAGAGGAAACGTTGCTACAGCCGGTAGACGGTAAAATCACCTGCCGCGAGCTTTGGGGCAGCGTGGGGTGTTGGGGGAAGTGGGTGGGGTGATGGAAGTTGTGCAGAGGGATCGCTGAATGATTCCCTTAAGGGATGGCAGAGACTCCTGGCTGAAGTCCAGGCTGGGGGGTGATGGAGGGAATGACGAGGGGCAGACAATCGGGGTAGAGTTTAGAGGTTGTAGGATTATGGAGAGCGAGAGGTGCCCAACAACAACAAATGATGTTTACACGGCGCCTGCTTTTCACGTCAGGAGGACGTCCCAAGGTGCTGAGACTTGCACTCGAGCTGTGTTTGGGGGCAGGAGGGTGACTGAAGGCCCGGTCGAAGAGGTGGGTCATGAGATGGGTCTTGAAGGTGGGGAGGGGGCAAGGCTGTCAATTGAATGTGCTGTCAATCCACAGGTTGGGGGGGTGGAATATGAAGCCAGTTCAGAACATTTGTCCTGGCAGCCAGGGGGAGGTTAAGATGTGCCGTGTGTGTGGATGACACAGAAAGCCCTGTAGCTCAGCATTAACAACTTGCAGTGCTGTAAAATGCTGTTAATCCCCTTCGCAGTTTATTGCGTGAGGCACTTTGAGACAACTTGACGATGTGATGAGGCTCGGTCGATCAAATGCCCGGATTATACTCTTTGTGCAGGGAAGCAGCTGGAGAGTGAGAGGATTGGAGCTCAGAGGTCCGGGTTGAAGTGCAGGTAATAATAATAATAGTTGCATTTGACAGCGCCTTATCACGTCTCGAGACGTCACAAAAGCGCTTCACAGATGACTCACGAGTCTGGCTGTCACAGGCAGCAGAGAGGAGGAGGAGGAGGGGTGGGGGACGATGCAGGTAATGCATAGAACGTTATGATAATACCTGCCCTTTAAGTTCACCGAATGCCCTGTTCCAGGTGGTGTGTGTGTGTGTAGCAAAGCTCTCGCCCACCCCACCCCGAGGCGTCGCCTCTGCTCCAGTACTGTGATGTACCACTGGGTGGCAGTCTATCCCGGGGCTCGACAAGAAGCCATGATTAAGACGAGGCTCAGGAGCTCAGGTGTTATAGAAGCTGCCGCTCGCAAGTCTGACTCCCGGTTCAGGGCGAAACGGGCAATTTCCTTACTCCCGCACACACACACACCTCTGTTTACCAGCAGTCGATTGGCGGATCACTTTTCCGGGGATGATAGTTCCCCTTAAAAAAAAATTGATCCCTCAATCACGACTGTTTGTGGGGACGCTGCTGTGCGCAATTGGCTGCCGCGTTTCACCCACAAAATATCCGGTCGGTTCACTTCACGGTCTGTTCTGTGGAGCCCTTTGAGGCGCCTCAAAGACACGATGAGGCGCCGTATCGATGCCTTGGGTAAACTCACCTCTCGCAGTCCAGTGTTGGGAGACGCTGTGGTTTGGACGAAGCTTTTAAGCCTAAGCTGCAGTTTGCTTGTCGAGCTGAATGTTTAAGGATTGCACCTTGCCTTCTGGAGAAAGAAGAACGGGCATTATTTTCTACTAGTTTACCAATATTTCTCCTTCCTACACTAACGATTTGGTGGTTGGTCATTTCATTGCTGTGTGTGATACATTAACAGTTTTGCTTACATGATGGTCGCTGCACTTTTAACAGAACTTAGACATTGTGAACAGTGATAAAACCTGGATGGGTGGTCAGGCTTTCAGCCTCTCTGCCCCCACCCTGTCCCCAGTCCCTTCATCTTGCTCCCTCCCTTGCCTCCTTCAAACCCTCCTCTTTGACTGCGCAATCATCACCCTCCCCACGTACACTCCCTGCCTCCATCCCCCCCCCTGATCCCAACCCTCAGCTCAGGTCCGAATCCCCGACTGTCCAGCGCCTTGGGCTGTCCTCCCGACGTGAAAGTCTGGCGCTGTGTAAATGTAATGTGTTGCTGTTGCGAAGCCCATAATCTGCAAACCTCTCATGTTTGATGGATAATGACAGTCGCGGGCAGTTTGTTCCGGTGGGGGGGAGAGACCGGACATTCCCCTCCTGCCTGAGGCTGAGCTGTGGACAAGGTTGTCAGTCACTGAACGAGATCCTGATCACTGATTTCTTTGTGCTCACAGAATGCTGAGGCTGCAACTGTAACAGGTGCTCTCAGTGGAAACTTCAGGGAGAGACACAAAACAGCAGGTGCCTGTGTCCCTGTGTACAGGTGTGAACCGATCTGGGGCCCCGCCACACCTGTCAGATACGCTGACTCACTCCTGGGGGGTGGGGGGGGGAACCGGTCGGACGGATATTAGTGCAAATGCTGACGTGCTCGGGCTCCCTCCACCAGAATCCGTTTCGCCCACAAAAATACCCAGTCATTCCACTTAACACCATAACCTGGGGAGCGTCTAGAAACATCTCAACGTCATGCTATAGGTGCTCCCTGCCCTCCACCCTCCCTGATCCCAACACCCTTCCCCCCCACCGCACCCCACCACCACAACTTCCCCCAGATCCCTGAGTGTCCAGTGCCTTGGGACTTCCTCCTGACCTGACAGTCGCTGTGTAAACGCCATGTCGTATTGTCTGTGAAATGTTAAGGATGGAAAGGGCTAAAAAGTGCTGACACTATCCCTTAATCTGTGCTGATTACTGCCTCTTGTTCTGTTGCTTTTGTTGCTAAATGTCAGGCCACGGTGTTTGCTGTGGGAGATTGATGATGGATGAGCTGAGGGCCTGCCTCTCACTGGCTAATGGGTCATCAACAGCACACGTACAGCATATAAATGTGTGTGTGTGAATCTCAGTCACACCCGCCTGACTCTTTGCCGCTGGGAATCCGGCCACCGTCAGCGATCAGGATGTGTCGAGGACTGGCAGCGCTGCCTTCCACCTGCATCGAGAGGTATTTCGCGCCCAGCGAAGCCCGGCACACAGCTAACACACCCACCCCACCACCACCACTAGGACGGGCGTTGGTGTGTGAAGGTGGGGGCGCGGTTCATCGTGTAGGTGTGAGAGCTGCTCAAGGACGAGCTGATGGTAATGATCCTTGCGTTTGACACAGCGGCTGATCACGTCTTCGAGGCGTCTCAAAGCGCTTCGCGGGATACGCCATAAAGCGTAGTCACTTTGTTTTGTGCCTTGCGATTGGTTCTTATCAACCCACGGCTGTCCGTGGAGATGCTGCTGGGCACAATTGGCTGCCGCGTTTTGCCCACAAAACACACAGTCACTACACTTTACAGTGTATCCTGTGAAGCGCTTTGAGGCGTCTCGAAGATGTGATGAGGCTCTGGGTCAAATCCAACGATGATTATTATGTGTCATCCTCACCCCCAGCATTTCTTACCCAGTTAATAGTAACTATTGCTAGTTAGAGGCTGATCTGCAGACGGTAAGACGCCTCTGACGGCTGGTTGTCAGACTCCGTCACTGTGAAGCGCTCCATGTCTCTACCCCGGGTGACAGACAATGTATAAATGCAGGTTGTTATGTTTCTTGTCTGTCTGTGGCAGGGCCAAGGAGATGAGGGTGCAGCTGGGATCTCTGCTGCACAAACCCAAAGCCATCAGTGAACCTGAGAGTGTGGCCGTCAAACAGCAAAAACTCCCCTGGACGAGCAGGTCAGTCACCAGCGCAGACACGATGAGGGGGGGGAGAGAGCGAGCAGGGAATGGGGTTAGAGGAGAGAGCTCCAATGGGTGGGGGTAGAGGGAGCACCAGCACAGACACACTCTCAGTATTCTTTCTCTCCTTGTCTCCACAGGCCCAGCACAGAGGAAGCTCTAGGAGGAGGTCAGGTCTTTGACAAGCTTCTGTCCAACAAAAGTGAGTGTGAGATCACACAGCATGGACACGCGTGAGCCTAGCCTTCCCTCACGACAGCCGAACTGTGAGCCCAAAGCCCCTGACATGAGGCTTAGAATCATAGATTATTACAGCACGGAAGGAGGCCATTCGGCCCATCGAGCCTGTGCCAGCTGTTTGGAAGAGTCAGTCCCACTCCCCTGGGAGCTGGGATGTGGAGGGTGGGATGTGGGGGTTGAGGGCTGGGATGTGGGAGTTGGAGGTTGAGGGCTGGGAGGTGGACATGATGGGTCATTGGGACCGGGATTGGCCCATTGACTGACTCTCTGTTTCCAGGTGGAGTGACCACGTTCCGTGCCTTCCTGTGCTCGGAGTTCAGTGAGGAGAACCTGGAGTTCTGGCTGGCCTGTGAGGATTACCGCAGCACAAGGACCAGCGCGGAACTCGCCAACAAAGCCCAGAGGATTTACCGGGAGTTCATCACTGTCCAGGCTCCTAAAGAGGTGGGGGGGGGGCATCACCGAATAGCCAGGGAAGGTGGAGAGTGTACGAGGAGGGGTGGGGGAGGTGTGTGTGTGTCTCCGTCTGACTCTTACTCTGTGTGTGTAAGAAATACACACACATGAGGGAGAGAGACACACACAGTCTCTCACCCACAATCACCCACAAACTACAGTCACTACACTTTAGTGTATCCTGTGAAGCGCTTTGAGACATCTCGAAGACGTGATAAGGCTGTGTATCAAATGCAAGGATTATTATGGGATTATTATCTCTGACTGTGTGTGTGTCTCTCTATCTCTCACTGTGTTTGTCTCTCTATCTCTCACTGTGTGTGTGTCCCTCTCTCTCACTGTGTGTCTCTCTCTCACTCACTCTGTGTGTCTCTCTCTCCCTCATGTGTGTGTATGTGTGTGTCTCTACCTGTCGCTCACTGTGTGTGCATAAGTGTCGCTTTCTCACATTGTGTTGTGTCTCGGTGCCTTGCATTGTGTGCAAGTGCGTGAGTGTGCACGCGTGTGTGCACGCGTACCCAGGTGTATCGTGCTTTCTCTCCCCCCCCCCCCCCCCCCGTGACGTGAAAGTGCTATAAAAGTGTAGCGTGCATTGCTGTACCTGAGTGAGAGTGTTGCAGGACTCGGGGTGTTCTGGATCGTCAGTGTAAAGCCCTCTGTTGTTTGCGCACGTCTCTCTCTCTCTCTCTCTGTGCCAGGTTAACCTGGACTCGACGACCAGGGAGAAGGTTACCAGGAACCTGGAGGAGCCGAGCGCCTTCTGCTTCCAGCTGGCCCAGGAGCGGATCCGCAGCCTGATGGAGAACGATTCCTTTCCCAGATTCCTCAAGTCGGAATTTTTCCTGGAGCTCATCAAACACGTGTGATGGCTTTGCCGTGGCTGCTTGCTCCGAAACGCTGCCTGTTAATCCTGTCCTCTCTCTCGCCCTCTCTCTTGCTTGTTGTTCAGGAGGGAAAGATATATTAGAGTAGTTTCTATATTCTGCTTGTGTTAATGCTCCTCTTCCCAAGATTATTCCCAGACCAGATTCCCGTTGTTCAGGCAAACGCAAGGACTCCCCCTGGCTTGTTGGGCAGCGTTGACACCAAATCCTGTAAATCAAATAAAAGTGTGAAGCGAACCAGCTCCAACAAACTCCTCTGTGTTTCTGCCAATAAAAGTGATTGAGTTATTATTTAAATAATCAGCATATTTGAATGATGCTACAGTATAGCTCGGCTCAAAGGAACACATTTGTGACTCGATTGGCGCAGTCGCTTTTCCAGGGGTGATAATTCCCCCCCATCCTGCCAAAAAAATAAAATAATAATAATTTGGTCACTCAATCCACGACTGTTTGTTCGCCCACAAAATACACAGTCACTACACTTTACAGTTTATTCTATGAAGCGCTTTGAGACGTCGCAACGATGTGATGAGGCGCTGTAACAAATGCAAGGATCATTATTATTATTGTTAAATTGAGTGACCAAATTATTTTATTTTTTTTAGAGGGATTATTCCCCCCGGAAAAGCGATCCGCCAATCGGCTAACAACAGTGTTCCTACTTACTGCTGGTAACCAGAGGCGCGAGCGTGGGGTGTAAGGAAACTTGCTCAGTGTTTTGCCCTGTCGGGAATCGAACCCAGGTCCTCTCGCTTGCGAGGCGAGGGCTGTTACCACTGAGCTCCACCTTTAGAGTGTAAGAGAGAACAGAACATGAGTCAATTGGGGCCGGAGCTGCAGACACTTTCCCCTCATGCTCTGCCCATGAGGGAGAAAGCTCAGCACTCATTGTCTTTGCAATTAATCAGAGACATCGGGCAAATTAAACCACAGCACCTGCGGGGCTGACTGCCCTGGCGTCTGTCACACACAACGCCCGGCCCTCCAGCCCTGGCAATCACAGCAGCCACTGTGCTCCACCAAGTCCTCGCTTGTTTATAACTCGCCTGATAACAATCTCTGCAGAAAACAACAACAGATTCACTTCAATCCACGCCTGTTTGTGGGGACGCTGCTGTGCGCAATTGGCTGCCGTGTTTTGCCCACAAATATACAGTCAATTCACTTGACGGCATATTCCGTGAAGTGCTTTGAGACGTCGAGAAGATGGGCTAAGGCGAGGATTATTACTATTATTGTTTGACTAAATAATTAGATTTCGGAGGAGAGTCAATGGGTGGGAATGTGACTATTGTGTTACCTGTCGGAGTCGAGATGTCACCTTGCTCAGCGAGGCGAGCTGATCGCTGATACCGAGCCCCGCCTCACCTCAGGCAGAATCCGAACCGAATGACAATCAGGTGCTCTTTATTCCGCTTCACTGGAGCCAGGCCTGCAGAGAAAAAGCCTCTCTTCTCTCCCCCCCCACCCACACAGCACCCGGCTCCCTATGCTCAGCACAGGTCCATCCTATTCCCCGCCATCTGCTGGAGTCCTGTAGCTCAGTGGTTAGAGCACTCGCCTCGCAAGCGAGAAGACCCGGGTTTGATTCCCGGTCAGGGCGAAATGTTAGACAAGTTTCCTTACTCCGCACACGCGCCTCTGGTCACCCAGCGGTAGATAGGAACCTGGTTGTTAATCGATTGGCGGATGGCTTTTCCGAGGGTAGTAATTCAATCCACGACTGTTTGTGGGACGCTGCTGTGCTTATGTGGCTGCCCACAAAATATAGTCAATTCACCTTACAGTGTATCTTGTGAAGGGCTTTGAGACGTCTCAAAGATCTGATAAGGCGCTATATCAAATACCAGGATTATTATTATTATTTATTTATTATTAGTCAGTTGACTGGAAATCCCTAGTCAGTGTCCCCACTGAAATTAATTTTAACCTTTAAGCCATTTGTCAAGTGGAATTATATCAGTGCAGATGCGTGCGGTAAACACTCACGCTAAGGTTAGCTCAGGGTGTGGCTGCACCTCCCACTTAGTGAGAAAGCCTGATTCATTTTCACGCAGAATTGTTCTAAATTCATCGGGACTTGAGCTGCAGAGGATATGAGTGGGACTGGGGGCTGGAGCAAGCATTAGGATGGACAGCTATGTGGAGGAGCAAAGACCCACACGAATAAATGGCCACATTGGCCTAATGGGTCAACAACAACACATGACAGTTACACGGCGGGAGGACGGGAGGACGTCCCAAGCCGCTGGACAGTCAGGGATTTGCATCCGAGCTGGTGGTTGGGATCGGGAGGGTGGGGAGGGTGACCAAAGGCGTGGTTGAAGGGGAGGGCCTTGAAGGAGGAGAGGGAGGAGCATCCTACATTTCCCCGGATTCCCCCTCCTCCTCGATGGACGATAACATGTGCGAGGGCCAATGGTTCCATCAATGCTCTCCTGTACTTCACAGCCAAACTATCAGCCCAGTGAGGAACAGTGAGGGCTATTATTTGATCAGAGATTCTGGCTACTTGACCTCTAGAGACATGGGTTACGTGGGTGATGCGCAGGCACTGTGGGGTTAATGCATGGGATGGGCTGTTGATCAACATAGCGGGTAATCACTGGGGAGACCACACTAAGATACTGTGTACAGCTCTGGTCACTGCAGGACAAAAAGGGGAGGAATCGAGAGGCTACAGAGGAGGGAACAGAGGGTCTGGACTATGCGGAGCGACCAAGTAACTTGGGAGAGTTCACGCTGGAAAAGAGAAGATTGAGAGGGGACGCGATTGCTGTCTATAAGACTCTAAAGGGGCCAAACAACTCACATCACAACAGACTGTTTCATCCGGTCCAGATAGTGAGACCCGAGGACAGACATGGGCTGCGGCCGACGGGGGATAAATTCGGAGCGAATCTTCTCAAACGCTATTTCAGTGAGCGAATAGCCATCCTGAGGAACAGCTCCCGGGGGGACGGTCAAAGCGGGAAATGTTGATTCCTTCAAACGCAGATCAGGTAAGTTTTCTTTTAGGAAACACCCTGACGGGATATAGTACGTGGGGAGTTCGGTGTGCAGGCGACCGCCAGGAAGGTGGAACGGAGAACGAGGTGGACCCTGGTCTTATTTTCATCTGAGCATTTCTTGCCTTCTGTAACTCGGATGGCAATGGGGGAATGAGCAGCACAGATGCTCTTTGTGCTGACAGCTCAAAACCTCCCCAACCTGTGCCTGGGGCTCCCATTGCTCTGGGAAGAATCTCCATTAATTAATTTGCTGCTATTTCAGAACCTGATGGAAGGGTTTGGCCAATGCAGAGCTTTGTACCTTACATAACATGCTTCAGAGGCTCACATACACAGAGTAAGCCTTGGAGCGCTTGGCATGGCTCTGTTTATAAGCTCGGACTGGGTGGACCTTTACGGGGAATGCATTCGCTTTTTGCCTCTGATCCAACATCGAGCTGCTTTAAAAGAGTGGTCGGTGGCTGTTAAGAAGCCAAACGGTGCCCCTAAAACCGCTGACTAGCATCAGTGTGGTCACCCTGGTCAAATTCTCGGTGGGAGAGGCTGGGAGTTGGTTGAGTGTGAGAAAAGCAAACAGGGTGTTTCCAGGAGCTAAGCTGCTGATTTGTCTCCAGGCGTTTCAGCTGCTGATGGTGTCTCAGTTGTTGTTGGGTGTTTGTAGGCTGGTGTGAGCCAAGTTCCCCAGGGCACACAGCTAGGTGCTTGAATCCAGCCTCAAGCCTGCTGCTCAGTGATCAGGAGCGAGACCCCCTCCCTCACCCATTTGCTATCTCAGCGGAGACCAACCATTCAGCACAGAGCGGGGCTGAGATCAGCCCCTCGGCACACAGAGAGAGAGAGAGAGAGAGAGGATGTCTCGGTTGAATGTATTGAGATAAGCCTAATGCCTGTGATATTTAATAATTTCCTTATTTACTCGGGTTCATTCGGTCCTTGACAGCCCTGTTAGCCTTTGGCATTGGAGCCAAAGTGCATCTGAGACAACAGGAACCAAACAAACACATGTAGAACCATAGATTGTTCCGGCACAGAAGGAGGCCATTCGGCCCATCGTGCCTGTGCCGGTAGCTCTTTGGAAGAGCTCCCCAACCAGTCCCACTCTCGCGCTCTTTCCCCCACATCCCTGCAAGTTCTTCTTCTTCGAATACCTCTCCGATTCCCTTTTGAAAGTTGTTATTAAAATCAGTTTACACCACCCTTTCGGGCCGTGCGTTCCAGCCTTGGAGTTGGCGCCTGAGCTCAGAGGAGGGTCTAGAAACTGTGACTGTTTAACAAGGGCTGAAGGATGATCTGGATGTTAAAGATGGCAGGGCCCTGTTGGAAAGACAAGGGTTTGTCCTAGTCCCAGATAAAATTGGTCAATTGGCCAATATGCTCTGTCGCTCACTCTACACCACTTGCCGCCCCCTCGCTCTCTCTCCACGTTTTCAGACCTTCTTCTTCGACTGTGCTTACGGTCACCTTCCCCCCCCCGCCCCCCTCACCACCTCCTGGCTTGGCATCGGGCTCCACTCATGTCAAGCGCTCCGAGACCCCGTCCAGCGTGAAAGGGGTATATAAATACAAGTTGTTGTTGCCATGGCTAGGTCAGGTCTGTGAAGGGACTTACTGCTGGTGCAAGTCACTACACTTCACAGCGATTAACAGTGAAGCCCTTCAGGAGCCTGGAAGGGTCCAGTTACTGTACCCGATGCAGAGGCTACGGTTTGAGGATGCAGTTAATTCAACGGCTGTGGAGACCTGTGATGTGTGTGGGGGTGAATCAATGTTTCCTATACGTCTAATAATTGTGTTCACTTCACTAAATCTCTGCAACGAAGACTGCACACACAGGAATCATCGAAGCCAGTCTGAATTGGGAGTGGCGAGGAACCTGCCTTGCCTGCCAGCCAGCCAATTAAGACAGGGTGGGTATGTGTGTGTGGGGGGGGGTGGAGGGGAGGCGGCATGTGTTGGTAGATGTCTTCAGTATAAATATGGCTGCATGTGGCCGTCTCAGTACTGGCAGCCAAGCCGTAGGTAAGAGGAGGCGACAAACACTGAAACAGCCATGACCCTGTATTCCTCCAAGCAAACATCAGCCTCGCTGTCAAACCTTTCCCTGGGTGGAGGCTACAACAAGAGAAACTATGGCGTTGCGTTGAGGAGCTACAGATTGGGGCAAGCTGCCCCTGGAGGGATCGGACTAGCTGTGGGAGGGAGGATGGCCATTAAGTTCTCTTCAGGGACAGGACTGGGGGCAGGAAGCTCGGTGGGAACAGTGATGGGGGTGGTAGCGGAAACCTGAGCAACGAGAAGGAAGCCATGCAGAACCTGAACAACCGCTTGGCCTCCTACCTGTCGCAGGTCAAATCTCTGGAATCGTCCAACCTGACACTGGCGGCAAAGATCAAGGAATTCTCCAAACCCAAGACCCTGGGGGGATTTGACTGGAGTTTGTACGATACGAGAGTCAAGGCTCTGCTGAAGCAGGTACAGGTGCTGTGGTTCTGGGGCAGATAATAGTTCTTGCATTTGATACAGCGCCTTATCATGTCTTCGAGACGTCTCAAAGCGCTTCACAGAGTATACTGTCAAGCAAATTGACTGTATATTTTGTGGGCGAGACGCAGCAGCCAATTGCGCACAGCAGCGTCCCACAAACAGTCCTGGATTGAGTGACAAATGTATCACGCAAAAAGTGATCTGCCAATCAACTAACAACCGGGTTCCACTGTTGGGTAAACAGAGATGTGTGGAGGAAGGAAACTTACCCAACTTTCGCCCTGCCCGCGCGGGATTTGAACCTGGGTCCTCTGGCTTGCGAGGCGAGTGCTCTAACCACTGAGCTACAGGGCTCCACGTGGCGCAGGTACTCTTGACCTGCCCATAGCTTTGCCCCGAAAGTTGGTCGGAGACTGGGAGCAGTTGTTCTGGCCACACCTCACACCCTGGGGCTCCCAGACATTACCCCGTGTGAAGCCCGCTGTATAAATGCCAGTTGCCGCTGTTGTGGGGTCGTGAGGAAAATATGAAATGATCTCTCGGTGGTTGGAGTTGTTAGCTCAGCCCTCAGGGCGTTGGGAACAGAATCAGATTACATACCGTCAGGTGCACAATGCCCATTAACCCTATACGATACAAAAAGACATTTACACAGCGCCTTTCACGTCGGGAGGACGTCCCAAGGTGCTGGACGGACAGTCAGGGATTTGGACCCGAGCTGGGGGTAGGGAGGGGTGGAGGGTGGGGGTAGGAGGGTGGCCGAAGGCACGATCAAAGAGAAGGGTCTTGAGATTTGCCTTGAAGAAGGGTGCAAATGCTAACATGGATTAGGTTGCAAGAACAGTGAGTACACTACAACGTAATTAATTCACTGTGTGACGGGCATTTCAAACCTGTGAATATCGTAAGATCTTGATCAGATTTGGAAATATTTTTCCTTTATTGTTGTGAGGCCATAATAACGGCTAATAAGAGAAGACAAGACTCTGGGCGTGATAGAAGGTTCAGGGCTCAGTAACAGGGGGACGGGAATTTGGGATTTAAAGGGTGGCTCCTCAGGACAGATTTGGTGTCTATGTCTCCAGTCTCACAGAGCTCCTGAAGTGTACAGATATTTTAATCCAACAACAAGACCCTGACGTTTTATATCTGGGTCAAAGCGATCCGGGACCCTACTCCACGTGAAGGGTGCGATATAAACGGGAGTCATTGTTTCGCTGATGGTCTGGGAAGTCCATCTCAGGATTCTGGCACCACTTAGCAATAATAGTTAGTGAGTCAGATGCTTCTGGCTGCAAGGTATTAGCTACTTGCAGCACTGAAAAGGGCGGAGAGCTCTGGGCACTTGACAGATTAGCTGTCGACGTCTAAAAATACATTCCCTGCAGCATCGTGAACAAACATTCACTGTTCATTCACGGTCTCTCAGCTCCAGTCATAATAATAATGATAATAATAATCCTTTGCATTTGACCCGGCGCCTTATCACGTCTTCGAGACATCTCAAAACGCTTCACAGAACACACTGTAAAGTGGAGCGACTGTATGTTTTGTGGACGAAACGCGGCAGCCAATTGCTCCCGGCAGCGTCCCGGAAACAGTCGTGGGTTGAGGGACCAAATTATTATTATTATTATTATTAGTTTTATTTTTTTAAGACAGGATTATATAGAGCGTTGATTACCTTTGCATTAGGTCAGAAGGTGCTGGGTTCAAACCCCAAGGCTTTGAGCTCACGGTGCAGGCTGGGTGACACTTCAGTGAGGGGTTTAAAGGGCTCCAGGTGATGCCTGTCTCTTTCTCTTCCCCTGGCTATCGCACTGACGCAGATTGAAGATCTCTTCTGTGGGAATGCACGCCTGGCTATGGAATTAGACAGCTCAAAGCACAGAGCTGAAAATTTCGGCATCAAGTAAGTGAACCGAGTCTAACTAAGAAGGTGTGTGGGATATCTGTGTGTGGGGCAAGGTGTGTGTGTGTGTGTGTGTGTGTTATGTACAGGTTATGTTGGTGTGGTTCTCAAGTGAAGCCACATACTTACTTATCTGATTCCCTTTTGAAAGTAGTTATTGAATCTGTTTCTACCCCCTTTCCGGGCAGTGCGATCCACAACTTAAATTTATATTAAATCCACGGGCCCCGGTTACCGACCCACCTTTACTCTACGTACATGTTGGTGGGGATATGGGGCGGTGGGGATTGCACATTCTCATACTCTCATCGTGTTTCCCTGAGGTCGCAATGTGAGGTGGAGATGAGTCTCTCGGTCGCTGCTGACATTGAGTCTCTCCGCGCTCTCAAGACACAATACCTGAACTTGGCCACTCAGATGGAGAGCGAGATCAGCAGCCTGGAGGCTGACATTGCTCAGCTCAAGGAAGATCATGAGAAGGAGGTGGGTAGCCCAGACCACAACCTGTACACGTCCTCCTATCTAACAACAACAACAACTTGTGTTTGTTTAGTGGCCTTCACGTGGGTTAGTGTCCCTGACTCGTCACCCCTGACCAGACAGACACGACCTCAGTTTGAAGACCAATTTATTTGGACCATTTTTGGCTGGGACACTGGGAGATTTTCGCTTCTCTTTTCCAAAATATATATTTTTTCGATATACACAGGGTGGAGGGAGGGAGGGAGTGGAAGTGAGGGAGGGAGTGGGGGGGGGAAGGGAGGGAGGGAGTGGAGGTTTGGTGTTCATTATATAAGAACACATGACATTTACACAGTGCCTTTCACGTCAGGAGGACGTCCCAAGGCCCTGGACAGTCAGGGATCCGCACCTGAGCTGGTGGTTGGGATCAGGAAGGGGGGTGGAGGGCAGGGGGGTAGATGGTGACCGAAGGCGCGGTCAAAGAGGAGGGTCTTGAAGGAGGCGAGGGGGGGTGGGTGGGGGGATGGATGGGATGTGGGATTCGGGAGGCACGTTGTCTGAGGTGAACCCGCTAACGGCCGTTGTGTTACAGAAGCTGAGTCTGCTCCGCGAGCAGAAAGGCCTGAATGTGCACGTCGGGGTGAGCTCTGCTCCCGCTGCCGACCTGAACAAGATGCTCAGCGACGTTCGAGCAGAGTATGAAGCCATGGTCAGAAAGCAGCAGGAGCAGACCGAGGCCTGGTATCAGAAGCAGGTAATTACAGGCCCCACAAGCCCACAGGAGATCGAGACACAGCACCACCCACTCCCACCCCCCACCCCGCTTAGGATATAGCGCAGTCCTGTAGCTCAATGGTTAGAGCACTGTTTGTTGGACGCTGCTGTGTGCAATTGGCTGCTGCATTTCGCCCACAAAATATACAGTCAATTCACTTTACAGTGTATTCCCTGAGGGGCTTTGAGACGTCTCCAAGATGTGATAAAGCTCTGTATCCCTCCCCCTTATCCCCTGATTTGTCATTCCACACATCTCTATCTTTCTCAATATAAAATGAATCCCACGGTGGGAACCTTGTCCGGCTTCCTCTCAAACCAGGGGCCTCGGACTATAGCTCTGTGTTAAGTGTTCAGTGTATTTGTTACCGAGGATACGTTTTAGCTCGGAGTCTCGCATGTTCTTTCTCTATCCCTCCGCCTTTCCCCCCTTCCTTCCTCCTTGCTTCCTTCATTCCCCCAGGTTCAGGTCACGCCTGAAGACCTTCCTCTTCGATCGTGCCCACAGTCACCTCCCCCGTCCCTCCCCAACCTGGCTCGGGGGAGTCATTCTCGGTCACCGTCCGGGCCGCTACCCTGAGTGAGGGGCGCTGTGTAAACCCCGAGTGGTTTATTGTTGTTTCTCCTAGCTGGAAACGGAAGAGCACAGGACCTCAGACGGAGGGGAGGGGATGGAGGCTATGAAGGCAGAGATGATGGGGTACCAGAGGCAAGTGCAGACCCTCAGGTCAGAGCTGGATTCCACAGCTGGAGCCGTAAGTAGCCCATTCCGTTCCCTCTCTCCCTAGACTGATGCTGGAGTTCAGGACTGTGGGGTGGGGGGGGGGTAGCGCTGCACTGTACTGGAGGTATCGTCCTTTGCAGAGGATTCCTGCAGTGGTTAGAGCCCTCGCCTTACAAGCGAGAGACCTGGTTTTGAATCCCGGGCGGGTCAGGTCAGGGCGAAACATTGGGCACGTTTCCTTACTCCACACACACACGCGCACACACACGCGCACACACACACGCGCCTCTGGTTACCCAGAAGAAAAATAATAAATAAAAAAATTGATCCCTCAATCCACGACTGTTTTTGGGGCAATTGGCTGCTGCGTTTCTCCCACAAAACATACAGTCGATTTACTTTACAGCATATGCTGTGATGCGCTTTGAGACGTCTTGAAGCTGTGATCAGGCGCTGGGTCAAATGCCAGGATTATTATTATTATTATTTTATTATTGTTATTATTCACTTCATGGCTATTTGTGGGACAGATCTTTGTGCAGATTGCCTGCTACGTTTGCCAACAAAAACAGTCAACCACGACAACAAATTGCATTTACCTAGAGCCTTTCACGTCGGGAGGATGTCCCCAAGGGTGCTGGGCAATGAGGGGTCCGCACCCGAGTTGCGGGTTGGGCTCGGAGAGGCATGGCGGGCAGGGTGGAGGAGGGAAGATGACTGAAGGTACGATCGAAAAGGGAGGGCCGATATCTAACCTGACCATCGCTGTCTTCAGAACCAGTCCTTGGCTGACTCGCTGTTGAAGGTAGAGCTGAGGTACAAGGAGGAGCTGAGCAGGTACCAGCGAGCGCTATCAGGGCTGGAGCGGGAGCTAATTGAGCTCAGGAACGGCACCGGACAGCAGAGCCGGCAATACCAGGAGCTGCTGCACATCAAGAGCAAGCTGGAGGCCGAGATCAGCACCTACAGGGGCCTTCTGGACACAGCTGGCAGGTATATAATCGGGGATAACCCGCAGATCGTTACGGTGAGCGTTGGGGGGTCCTCGCCCGAGGCTTCCCACTTGTAAGCTCCGTATTCTCACCACCCGCCGTGCGACGAAGGTCCTTCCGAAACTCCCAAATAATTAAAAAATAACAATAATCCTTGCATTTGATCCAGCGCCTCATCCCGTCGATCCTAGAGACGTCTTGGAGCGCTTCGCAGAGGTTACTGTGAAGTGTGGCGACTGGGTGTTTTTGTGGGCGAATTCCCTGACTGTCCAGCGCCTCGGAACCTCCTCCCGACGTGAGGAGTGTTGTATTTTCGATCTGCTGCCTTGTTTCTGACTGTTTTTGTTGGCAGAGAGAGGGCAGCCAATTTACACCAGCAAGGTGTTGGGGTGAATGAGCACACTGGCGCTCTTCCCCCCCCCACCCTTCCCCTCCCCGCCTCCTGCCTGCTCCCTGCCCCCAAACTTCCCCCCCACCCCCACCCTTGAGGCTATACGTTGGGATTGTGGATGCTAACTGAGAGGCTTTTGTTTCCGTTCTACTCTCAGCGGGAAGATGGTGCAGTCCTCGGGTGGTGAGAAGAGATCAACCATTAGCTCAGGTAGGTGTGTTGCCCCCTCCCACCCATACCCCACCAACCCCGCCCGCCCTCCCCCCCTCATCATACTCAGCCATGCTCCCCCCCTCTCCTTCCCATTTGGGAAGGTCAGGGCCATTAGCAAGGATGGAACGAGTTGGTGAGCGATAAGGATGTAAGGCAGTGAGATAATAATAATCATAATAATAACAATCCTAAGAGAGTGTGTGTCTGTGTGTGTGTTATTGTATCTATACGCCCTGGCAGCTCCCTTCCTCTCCGACCTGCTTAACCCCCCCCGCAAACCCACAACCCGCTGCCTCCGCTCGACCCGCTCTGGCCTCCTGCATGTCCCCCGTGCCCTCCGTTCCGCCATTGGTGGCCGCGATTTCAGCCACTAGTGCCTGAAACTCTGGAACACTCTTCCTCTATCCCTCCCTCCTTTCCTTGCCCCTTGCTCCCTTCCCTCCCCATTTTCAGGTCGCGCCTGAAGACCCTCCTAATCGACCAGTGCCTACGGTCACCTCCCCTCCCCCGGCTTCGTGCTCTGCGCTCTGGGACGCTACCATACGTGAGGGGCGCTGTGTAAATGCAAGTCGTTGTATGTATATGTACAAGACACGCACACACGCATGCTGATGTTAATCAACTCTGATTTGTTCTGATTGAATTGACAGATCTCAAGGCTGAGACTAAAGCTGAGAGAGCAACTGAGACTAAGACTGTGATCAGGAGAGTGATCACAACTGAGACTATTTATCCAGATGATGCTGACCCTATATCTAAGTCTGTGATTGTCACAGGGCCTCTTGCGAGAAGTGAGACTGGAGACTGGACACTGACTGACGCTAAGACTACATCTAACACAAAGCCTGACATTCCGACCTACCACGAGGGTATAACTGGAGCTAGTCTAGTGGCAAAGACTACTAAGGAGACTCACACACACATTCAATTGGAGCCACAAATTAAAACACTGGAGACAATACAGACTTGCTTTGAGACACAGCCTGAGACACTGCAGACACAGCAAGCTCCAGAGATTAGCCGTCAAACACAGAGGGAGACACAGGTTGAGACAATAGTAAGCCGGGTGTTGACTCTGCCTGACATACAGATGGAGAGTCTGGAGGTACCGTTTGACAAGCCATCTGACATACAGCTTGTGAGAATGGAGGCACAGTATGACATGACACGTGACACACAGACTGTGACTCTGTCTGACGCACAGACTGTGACTCTGTCTGACACACAGACTGTGACACTGCCCGACACACAGACTGTGACACTGCCCGACACACAGACTGTGATTCTGTCTGACACACAGACTGTGACACTGCCCGACACACAGACTGTGACACTGCCCGACACACAGACTGTGATTCTGTCTGACACACAGACTGTGACACTGCCCGACACACAGACTGTGACACTGCCCGACACACAGACTGTGACACTGCCCGACACACAGACTGTAACACTGCCCGACACACAGACTGTGACACTGCTTGACACACAGACTGTGACTCTGCCTGACACACAGACAGAGAAGCTGGAGGTACAGTTTGACATTGTGCCTGACATACAGACTGAGACGTTAGTGACTAAGCTGGAGACACAGAGTGAGATGACATCTGAGGCCGCAATCGGGAATCCTCAGGATCTGAGCGGAGATGGTGTCACTGGAGTACAGGTGAGCTCTCCCTCTCGCGCTTTACGTCAGCAACAACAGCCCAAAACCACAGGGGTGAAGGCCTGAGCCTGGGGGAGGGCGTTTAAGCTTCAAGCTTTGAACTGAGACTGGAATCCACTTGATATAGCGCCTCATCACATGGTTGAGACGTCTCAAAGGGCTTCACCAAATATACCGTAAAGCGGAGTGACTGTGTGTTTTTGCGGGCGAAACAAAATAGTTGATGTAAGCGCTATATCAAGTATTATTATAAAGGGGGCTGGCTCGAGCAAGGTAGAGGCAAGACAGGACCCACACAGGGACTAAATGGGAGTTGGGTCATGTGGGTAATCTGGGTCCCTTTGTTGCAGGTCATCAAGACTGAGACTGTGGAATACAGCTCAGAGGAACACTCCACAGAAACACAGCCGTAACACAGCTGATGGTCTCCAACAACAGCCACAGATCTGAGCAGGATCGTGCGGGCGAAAGGGAATGGCTTTGGGTTAAGCGTAGACTTCTGTTGCTACGCGTTACTGTTCTGTATTGCATGCGCCGTACTTGTATGGGATTTGCTATCCCGGGTGTGCGGTTTCTGCACCATGTGGTGCCGGTGGTGTGCGGTGGTTCGGAGGGCTGGGCTGAGATTTCAGGATTAGTTGGGATGTCCTGGGTCGTTGTTGTGTGCAATAAATACTACGTTTAAGATGGAACTGTCTGTGAGAGTGCGGTCATAATAATAATCATTCTGATAATAATCCTTGCATTTGATATAGTGCCTTAGCACATCTTCAACACATCTCAAAGCGCTTCACGGATTGAGTGACTGAATTATTATTACAGTATTTTTTCAAGGGATTATTACCAAGTAAAGTGATGCGCCAGTGGACTAACAACCGGGTCCCTACTTACTGCTAGCTAAACAGAAGAGTGTGGAGTAAGGAAACTTGCCTAATGTTTTGCACTGCCCGGGCGGGAATCAAACCCAGTCCTCTCGCTTGCCAGGCGAGTGAGTGCTCTAACCACTACTCCACAATAGTCTGAAAGCTTTGACTGTCCTGGATGCTACTCTGTCCATCCGAGGCAGTCAAGACAGTCAGGACCATAAACCCACCCCATGTTGTTGGAGGTGAAGGGTCGTCACTGCGCAATCACCTAGGAATCCTGCTGCATTTCCCCGTTGGACCAAATGCAGTCTTCAATGGATGAGGCTTTGCTGAGAGCCCTACCCAGTGAGGACAGTGAGGTTTGGCGTTGCTGACAGTGAGTGGCACTGAGTGGGCAGGAGGCAGGAGCTCCAAGCGACTGTTACCATCTCATGGTGGTGTCAACACAAGCTGGAGAAGCTTCCCATTCAGCTGACTCCACATTGGAATATTTACACATAACAGCACAGCAACGGCTAACACAGTCACCAGGCTCACATCCCAGCTACCTCAGGGCCACAGATTGCCCTCTCTCACCGTGTACACATAACCTTGGAGCGCAGACACTTCACAATGCAATAGTGCACTTAACCCGATGGGGGGCACTATATGACAAAAACTGATTAAACAGCAGTACCACACGGTGGTCAGTAGGTGACAGCATCAGCTGTGTCCCCGGCACAGACCCTGGAAATTGCCTTTGCAGTGTATTGCTGTAATAATAATAATAATAATAATCCTGGCATTTGACACAGCGCCTTATCAAGTCTTCGAGACATCTCCAAGCTATTGCTACCAGGTATCGCTGTACACAGTCACTACACTTTGCAGGAACATCCTGTGTTGTGCTTCAATAACAGTCATAAGGCGCTGCATCAAATACGGTGCAAACTCAGGTCCTATTGTCTCCAGAGGCATCACGCTGGGAGATGAGGGTCGGGGTCTCCTTGCAGCTGAACTGGCCCAAGGTGACCGGCCGGGCAACGGAATGTGGGAATGGAGCCAGGCCTCTGTGACGGTCTCTAGTCCCCGGTTCCTGAGCCAGGAGGGGCCGCAGTGTCCCAGGGCACTCACTGCTGATGGCAGCACAGCCCGGCCCGGCTCATAGGCAGGACCTGGGAGGGCCGACCAGTCCCTGGGGGCAGGGAATCCTCGACCTCAGCTCCTGGTAACCCCACAGCTAAAGCCCTAACTAACGGGGTGGGTGGTCCGAGCTGGACAAGCAGCGGGAAAGCTTGGCCAGACAGCAATGTCAGTGGCCAAGCTGTGTGTGGGTTTAGCTGGTTGGACTCCAGCAGTTACCCCCAACGCACACTCTGGGCTCCCCCCCCCACCCCCCAAAAGCCTCGGCTCTTGCCAACCTGCGCCTAATTCTCTCCGGAATTAGGTAATCAGGATGCATCCCTCCAGAGAGAGAGAGAGTGCATTCCATTCCAACAATCTATCTGTGGGATTTCCATGTGTAGGTGGGATGCGTGGAAATCTCAGCTTGGTTTGGAGATTCTTAAGCAACGGTGATGGGTTTTCGTGTGTGTCAGACAGACACCCCGACTGGGAAAACAACAACAAATTACATTTGTATAGCGCCCTTCACTATACAAACAGCGCTCTCTGAGGGGCTGGGATAGGGAATAAAGCTATACGGAGGAGAGCTACAGTCTCTCATCGAAGCAGGCTTCTCTGTCCTTGCCTGGGGGTGGGATGTCTCTTAATTAAATTAATAAAATAATGATTTGTCATTGATGTGCCACCTTTCGTGTCAGCACGACACCTTAAAAGTGTATCTCAGGTGATTACATTTTTACCTCGTTGGATCTTGCTCTTTGGCAGTTTCTCTACATCCCTTTGGCAGTGATGTGCCAAGATTTAAGCTTAATTTTCCAAATATGGTCTTACAGAGAGCTGCACAGTTTACACAACCAGCTGGGACCTGTAGCTGAGGTATTTCACACGCTCAGACACTCACATACACTCAAGCGCACACACTTATGCATACATGCACAATAATAATAATCCTCGCATTTGACGCAGCGCCTTATCACGTCTTCGAGACATCTCAAAGCGCTTCAGAGGACACACTGTAAAGTGAATCGACTGTATGTTTTGTGGGTGAAACCCGGCAGCTGAATGCGCACAGGAGCGTCTCCACAAACATACATGTGCACACACATCCATTGCTAATGAACTTCTAAATTCATCCAATGCCCAGTTACTGTGTTACTATATCTCTCTGCACAGCAAGCGATCTCTCTCTCTCTCTCTCTGCCTATATATATGTCTCCCTCTCTCTCTCTGCAGGTGACTTAATCTCTCTCCGTACAGAATGAGCGGGAGACGACAAAAGAGCGGTGGAGAAGGAACACAAATTTCTGGACTCGGAGATGCAACTCCCTGGTTAAATGCTGAGTGCAGTAAAATAATCCGATTTATTACAGATGTAGATAGATATTTGGGGAGGGCAAATTTGCCGGGCTATGGGGAGAGCGCGGGGGAGTGGGGTTAATTTGGACAGCTCTTTCAATCACTGTCGCGACGGGCCGAATGGCCTCCTTCTGTGCTATACAATTAACTGTGCAGCTGAGGCAGATTAGGACACATGCCCTGCCTGAATTCTTGCCACATCTTCTCAAATATGTGTGCATCAGCCCGGCTCAGTGGTGGTGATCTCGGCCCCAAACCAGCAGGTTGTGGGTTTAGCTCCAAGCCGGGACTTGGAATCACACGGTTTCCAACCCAGCGCTGAAGGAGGTGCAGTCCGTTGGATGAGACTTTAAACCGAGATACCCTCCCCTCGATAAACGCAAGCTGTTGTTGTTGTTGTTGCTTGTTCAGGACTCATAAAAAGACCTCATGGCACCATTCGAAAAGGACTAGTGAGTTTTCTCTTGGTGTCCTGGCCAAAATTGGTCACGCTCACACACACTCACACGCACACCGCACTCGGCTGTTTGCGGGATGCTGCTGTGCACATGCCCACAAAATATGCAGTCACTACACTTTACAGTAGATCCTGCGAAGCGCTTTGAGACGTCCTGACAAGGATGATAAGGCTGTGATAAGGCAGCGCTTTCCCAAGCAATGTTCTGGAGTCCAGTCTAGACTGTGAGCTCAAGTCCCGATTTCTATGTCTAACAAGCTTCCTCGCCTCCGCTGTGCTTTGAGACGTCTAACAGACTTGATACGGCTCTATATCAAATGCAAGTATTATTACTGTTCCCCTACCAACCTGTCCGCTCCCTCCGCTCAGCGGGCTCCGGTCTGCTTCACGTCCCCCCCACCCGCCTCGCTCACCCCACCATTGGCGGGCGGGCTTTCAGCCCCTCTGCCCCCACCTACTGGAACTCCATCCCACAGTCCCTCTGCCTTGCCCACCCCCCCTACCCCAGTACCTCCTTCAAGACCGTTCTCAAGACCCTCCTCTTCGACCGCGCCTTCGGTCACTCTCCTACCCCTACCCTTTCTGCCCTACACCCCCTCCTGATCCCAACCACCAGCTCAGGTGCGGATCCCTGACTGTCCAGCGCCTTGGGACGTCCTCCTGACATGAAAGGCGCTGTGTAAATGTCATGTGTTGTTCTTGTTATTACATGAACATCTGCCTTTAATATTTTAGACATTTTTGGCCTTAGATCCACCACATTTTTCAATGCTTAATCCTTTAGGGCTGCCTCACCCACACATTAACCTCTCCTTAAACATACATACAGCTGGAATGTTAGACAATCCTGAAGGTGACCATGAACCTTCACTGACCATGGCCTTTCCCTCCGCATAACAGGCGCAGTGTGTGTGGGCACGGAACAACAGAAACACAGGTGACAATGGAACACCAACGGCGCAGTCCCGTAGCTCAGCGGTTAGAGCCCTCGCCTCACAAGATGAGGGGACCTGGGTTTGATTCCCAGTAGGACAAAAACGAAACGTAAGCAAGTCTCCTTTCTCCACACGCACGCCTCTGTTCACCTCAGCAGTCAGTAGGAACCCGATTGTTAGTCGATTGGCGGATCGCTTTTCCGGGGGTACTCTTTTTGCAAAAATACAAGTAAAGTTTATATTAAAAAAAATTGGGTCCCTCGATCCACGACTGTTTGTGGGGACGCTGCTGTGTGCAGTTGGCGTTTCGCCCATAAAATATCCAGTCAATTCACTTTCCAGTATATCCTGTGAAGCGCTTTGAGACCTCTCTATCTCGTGATAAATCGCTGTATCAAACGCAATTATTATTATAGTGTCTAAAATAATGAAATGGGCTCAGAGTCTGTCGGTGCATTGCCCAGGGTGATACAGGGCTGTGTCAGTACGTGAACTCCTGCCAGAAAAGGAAACTGCCTCTGAATTGTTCTGCTCCCACCTGCCATCTCTGCTCATGTCTGATCTCAGGGAGTGTCTGTTTGCAGGCCTGGACAATCTCTCTGGAATGTGCCACATAGCCTCTGGGCTGTCTCCAGGTGCTCTGACAGGCAGGAGATTTATTGTATGTTCATGCTTTGCCTGAGGTCGGTGGAAGAAGTAGATTTACAGACCGACAAGTTGCAGGCTTCAAACTTTCCTCTTCCACAGGCAGCTGAGTTAGCTGAACCCAGCTCCCAGGGCTGAAATCTGCCTCAGCAGCTACAATCTACAATCAGTTAGAGGACTTCCATGTAAATGTTCTCACCTGCCAATTCCAATGTGATGAGAATCGTATTTAGTAAATAACAGTCAGAAAAACAATCCCAGGTGCAGCTGTCACAGAATGAAAGCCCTTGTACAGTGTGTGTGTGTGTGTCCAGCGTCTCTCTCTCTCTCTCACGTCAGGACTGTTTAGTGAGACCTGTTAGTTGAGTAAAAACCCTGAGAAATGTGCGTGTGGGAAAAGTGGCCTCAGCATCAGCGATATCTGACTCTGTTTCAAGCTGTTTGCACTGGTTTACACCCTAATCTGTCTGGATCCTCCTCACTCACTCACTCACTCACTCACTCTTCTTCTCCCCACTTAGCCTCACATTTCTCTCTCTGTTGCTGATTGAGCAGCTGGTGCCCTCTCTGCCCCCACCCTCTGGAACTCCATCCTACAGTCCCTCCGCTTCTCTCGCCCCCTCCCTCACCTCCTTTGAGACCCGTCTCAAGACCTTCCTCTTCAACCGTGCCTCCCTCCCTCCTACCCCCACCCTCCCCGCCCTCCACCCCTCCTTATCCTAACCCCCAGCTCAGGTGTGGATGTGTGAATGTCATTTGTTGTTGATGTTTGACTTTCTGGGAAAACCTCAACCCATTGAGACTGAGCCTGAGCCTGAGCCTAGATGGTGAACAATAAACCGTCACACCCCCAACGCTCCCCTATTTGCCTCTGATCTAAGAAATATTTTGCTCTCAGTTGACTGAAAGTAGATTTGGTGTTTGACTTTCAGGTCAAACCTCCAGAGTAAACAGCTCCTATTCTTTTCCAACTGTGTAACAGGATCATTAACAGGCAGAGAAATGCCACAGAATTTTTTTGACCCAGAGAGTTGTTAGGATCTGGAACTTGCTGCCTGAAAGGGTGGTGGAGGCAGATTTGATAGTAGCTCCCAAAAGGGAATTAGATAGGCACTTGAAAAGTAAAATTTGCGGGGCTATGGGGTAAGAGCGGGGTAGTGGGACCAGTTGGATAGCTTTTTCAAAGAGTTGGCACAGGCACAATGGGCTGAATGGCCACCTTTTGTGCTGTAAGATTCTATGAATGACGTCTTGCCCAAAGAATGGCTCAGCTCATAATAACAATCCCTGCATTTGATACAGCGCCTTATTATATCTTTAAGACGTCCCAAAGCGCTTCACAGAATACACTGTAAAGTGAATTGACTGTATATTTTGTGGGCGAAACGCGGCAGCCAATTGCGCACAGCAGCGTCCCCACAAACAGGCGTGGATTGAGCGACTAGGATTTTTTTTACCCCGGAAAAGCCGTCCCAAAATCGACTAACAACCGGGTTCCTACTTACTGCTGGGTAAGCAGAGGCGCTTGTGTGTGGAGTAAGGAAACCTGCTCAAGGTTGCACTCTGCCCAGGAAGTCACAGTTGAAGTAAATAGGACAATGTGGCCCGAGATGAATCACTCACACCCAAATTTGCAATAGAAACATTCCTCTGTGGAGATGAGTCAATCAGCTCTGTATCTCCTGGGCAAACAGATGGAGTTCCAGGGTGAGTGTGAACTTGCCCATTGAGTCTGTTAAACCCAGAGGCACCATCCTTTCACTCGAATCTAAGAAATCTTGTGCTCTCAATTGACTGAATTGATTTGATGTTAGCCTGGCTCAGTTACTAGCAATCTTGCCTCTTGAATCAAAGGTTCTGGGTGGTTTCAAGCCCCCCTTGCATCAGGACTTTGAGCTTACTTTTTAGGACAGCACCCCAGGGCTGTAATAAGTATAATAATAATGATAATAATCCTTGCATTTGATATAGCGCCTCATCTATCTCAAAACGCTTCACAGAATGTACTGTAAAGTGAATCGACTGCGTATTCTGTGGGCGAAATGCGGCAGCCAATTGCCAAAGTGTGCCGCAAACTGTTGTGGATTGACTGGCCAATTTTTTTTTTGGAATTATTGCCCCCGGAAAAGCACCAACCGACTAATAACCGGGTTCCTACTTACTGCTGGTAAACAGAGGCGTCCGTGTGGGGAGTAAGGAAACTTGCCCAATGTTTTGCCTTGACCCGCCCGGATGGGAATCGAACCCAGGTCTCTCGCTTGCTTGCGAGGCGAGTGCTCTAACCACTGAGCTACAGAACTCCAACTGGGGGAAGCCTCTTTATTAACAGAGTTGCCATCTTTCAGATGGATAATAATAATAATCCTTGCATTTGATATAGCGCATTTCACGTCAGGAGGACGTCCCAAAGCGTTTATGAATGTTCAAGACGACGGTAAAGATTGTGCAACACTATTGGAAAAGAGAGGGCGGTTTCTCCCAGTGTCCTGGATAATAATTCTTGATGTAAATTGCCATTTCACCCCCTGGCTGTTTGCTGCTCCTAATATGCAAACCTTCAGAAACTTCCCCCTCAAAAACATCCCCCGCCTCCCTCAGCTTGCACCTTAGTTCACGTGGCAGGTGTGCAGCTCAAAACCAGTTTATTCTAATAGTTACAGGTCAGCAGCAAATAAATTAATGAGTATACAGTGCACTCGGCTACAGAGCTTTGCTGCTGGAAGAAGAGAGAGAGAGAGGGACATAACGACACCGGGACTGAGAGAGAAAGGAAGAAGATAGAAAGAGAGACGGTGTGCGTGCGTATGATAAGGAGAGAGAGGGGGAAGAGAGAGAGAGAGAGAGGAAGAGATTGAGGTATACGAGAGACTGAAAGAGAGTGTGATATGCTTTGGGACACTGTTGGCGTGAAGGACTATAACATAAATGCTTTGTTGTTGTGTGAGGGAGAGAGACATGGGAGGCTGAGGGAGACAGAGACAGACTCAGAGAGACAAAGAGGTCACAGGTACAGTATGTGCTGAGTTAGTCAGTTGGGAGAGGTTAGCCACAGCTTGCTTGCAAGCCCACTCTCACTTTAATCAAGGTAAGGTTAGAAATTTGAAGGTGAAATGTTGAATCTATTTCAAGCAGCAGTCGGGCTTGACACTACAAAACAGCGTTTAAAACTTGCGTGTGAAATAAGAGCCTTACAGGCAGCAACACTCCCACAGAGCAGAACACCACCAACCAATTCTGTTGCCCATGGTCACATTTAACTATCAAAACCACCACACCCTAAGCGAACAAAAGCCCACTGGATTAATCGCCCTAGCTCCCGGGCCAGCATTCAGTTCTACAAGTGTGCAGTCAATTCGCTTTATGTTTATTCTGCGAAGCGCTTTGAGACTTCTCGAAAAGGCACGACATCAAATGCAAGGATTATTATCACATGTTACACCAACAACCAAACAACAACAACGTGCACTTACACCGGGCCCTCCGTGCAGGGTAGCGTCTCAGAGCTCTTAACAGTGGCGGAACCTGACTCCGAGCTGGGTGGGGGGGGGGGGGCGGGGAAAGGTGGCCTTAAGCACGGTCGAAGAAGAAAGTTTTCAGGCGGGACTTGAAAGAGAGGAAAAGATGGGGGGGCATAAGGTGGAGGGATAGAGGGAGAGAGAAGGGGGGCAAGGCGGAGGGATAGAGGGAGAGAGAGCGGGGGCAAGGCGGAGGGATAGAGGGAGAGAGAGCGGGGCAAGGCGGAGGGATAGAGGGAGAGAGAGCGGGGGCAAGGCGGAGGATAGAGGGAGAGAGAGCGGGGGCAAGGCGGAGGGATAGAGGGAGAGAGAGCGGGGGCAAGGCGGAGGGATAGAGGGAGAGAGAGCGGGGGCAAGGCGGAGGGATAGAGGGAGAGAGAGCGGGGGCGAGGCGGAGGGATAGAGGGAGAGAGAGTGGGGGCAAGGTAGAGGTTTTGAGGGAGAGTGTTCTAGTGTTTTGGGGTGTCGTGGCTGAAAGCACGACCTCCAATGGAAACTGTCTGCCCATTCAACTTAAAGAACCCCTGACACTGAAAAANGAGAGCGGAGTTTCTCAAGTGTCCTGGCTCACTTCGAATCCCTCAGATCAACTGGTCAGTCACCTCATGGCTGCGTGGGACCTAGCTGTGCTATTATGCTGCTGTGTTTGAATGCAAATACACAGTCACTATACTGGGCAGCAATGCCCTGTGAAGCGCTTTGAGACTTCTCAGCGTTACTGTAAGCCGTACGTTAACACTATCAACGTTATTCCGCTCGGAGCGGCAAACGGGGCTGTAAAAACAGGCTTCATTTGGCTAACGTGCCTCGGGCTGTCTGCATTGTTCCCAGTTTCTGACCTGAAAGGTGGCTTGACAAGGAAGCCAGTTAAGGTTATTTTTGGATGCAGGTTTTAATCACATTGATCAAGCAAAGCCGTGCGCTGAGAGTCAGCTGCTCTCAGTATCAAGCAAATACACTTGGTGATATTTTCTTCGACGGTTGGAAAACTTAGTAACTCCGAGGTTGCTTGAAGTGCAGCTCTTTCTGAAACCTGTTTGTACAGATCAGCTCGGGGACTTAAAAGCTGCTGTAACCTGAGCCACAGGCAGCTCAGTATCTACCTATCTGGAGTTGGTGGGAAGGGCCTAAAGTGGGTGTTGAACGCCCTACTGTGCTATATAAATAGCCAAGGAACTGGTCCTTTGTCACTGAGCTTCCAGATCAGTCTCGACCTCATCAGCCTTGCTTAACCTCCTCCTGTGTCAGTCGTCATGTCGCTCACCCAGCGATCGATGAGAATGTCAACCGGACGCTCCGGGTTTGGGTCCCAGAGCCTCTATGGCGGCCTCGGCAGCAGCGCTCGTAGCATTTCTTCCAGTCGCTCCTTCAATGTGAGCTCGGCTGGTAGTGGCATGAGAAGCGGAGGCGGAATGGGAATAGGGTTGGGGATGGGAATAGGGATGAGCGCTGGGGGGCTTCTGAGTGGTGGTACCAGCGGGCTGGTAGCCAACGAGAAAGACGCCATGCAGAACCTCAACAGCCGACTGAGCAAATACCTGGAGAGGGTGCACTCCCTGGAGGAGAGCAACATTCAACTGGAGAAGAAGATTCGGGAGCTGTCCACTGACAAGATCATCCAAGGCTTCGACTGGACCATCTATGAGAACACAGTGAAGCCCCTCCAGAGTCAGGTAAGTAACGCCCGCCTCTCGCTCCCCCCCCACCACCATCCCCAGCCCTCGCTTGCCTCCTTCAAGACCCTCCTCTTTGACCATGCCTTCGGTCAACCTCCCCACCCCTCCCTGATCCCAACCACCAGCTCGGGTGCAGATCCCTGACTGTCCAGCGCCTTGGGACATCCTCCTGACTTGAAAGGCGCCGTGTAAATGTCATTTGCTCTTTACGCTCTCTCTAGATCTTCCCGTTCCAACTTCCATCAGGACCTTGCCTCCCTTGCCCAATCCTCCGCTCTCATGTTCGATCATGAATACTCTAGGCTTCTGCTGGTTATCTCTGTTGAGTACATCTTCCATTCCGTGGGTAAAACATTCTCTTTCTTTTTCTGCAGCACACCTCAGTCTGGGTTTTTTGTCCCCAGCCCGATTTTGACCGTACCTTAATCCTGACCTTGCCACACCCTTGCTTGCATTCCTACCACAACTCCCCCTCCCCCCCTCCAACACGAACACCAAACCTATCCCTACAATGCAAAGCAGCTTGTTACATGGAAAGAGAGAGAGAGAGAGCTGCTGTAGTGAACAACAGAGCAAGGCTGCCCGTCAAGTGGCACAGAGCTGGCAAATAGAGGGGCTGGAGCTGGAAGGAGGGAGATTTACTCTGTCTATAACCCTTACTGTGGCTGATCCAATACAATACAATACAAAATGACATTTACACAGCGCGTTTCATATCGGGAGGACGTCCCAAGGCACTGGACAGTGAGAAATTTGGACCCGAGCAGGAGGGGGTTGGGATCAGGAGGGGTTGGAGGGCAGGGAGGGTGGGGGTAGGGGAGTAACTGAAGGCACGGTCGAAGAGGAGGGTCTTGAGACGGACCTTGAAGGAGGTGAGGGAGGGAACGAGGCGAAGGGAATGTGGGATGGAGTTCCAAAGGGTGGGGGCAAAGGGTGATCTAGCAGCGTTGGATGGACAGTGTGGAGGGAGCTTTACTATGCTGAAATATTAATATCTGAAACTTAAGTTTCCTTACTCCACATGCCTCTATCTACCCAGCAGTTGTAGGACCCAGTTGTTAGTCGACTGGCGGGTGGTGGGGGGGGGGCAACAATTTTGGGGGTAACAATTCCTTAAAACTCACATTTCGCCCACAAAACACACAAGCAATTCACTTTACAGTGTATCCTGTGAAGTACTTTGAGACGCCTCGAAGATGTGATAAGGTGCTGTGTCGAATGCAAGGATAATTATTAATTGTATTACTGTGTATGTAACCTGTCCTGCAGCTGACTGGGTGGACAATGGACAATGTACAAAGGGAGTTTAACTCGTGCTTGAAACTGTCTTGATTTCTTGCAGATCCTGTCCTCCATTATGGACAACTCTCATGTGGCCCTGGAGATCGACAACGCCAAGCTGGCGGCTGAGGATTTCAGGAGCAAGTACGTGGATCGCTCAGTCTTTGTCTCTTCCTCTCCTGTTGTCCTGCACTGTTGCACAATATCCCTTTGTCACACAGGATGTTAGCTCGCTTTGCTTCCATAGTGGGGGGGGGGGGGGGGGGGGGGAGGAGGAACGAGAGGGGAGTTGGGCAAATCCCTTCCCTTCCTCACTTGTTCCTGCCCCCAACCCCCTCCCCCCCGCCCCACCCCTATCATCACCAGAAAGTGTAGCCCTGTGAGGGGTGCCTGAGTTGGGTCTGGGAAGAGGGTATTTGGCCCATCGAGTCTGTTCCACAGCAGATCATCTCACCACATTTCTCTGCCTCTTCTCCAATTACCCTTTAATACTTTTAATTCCCTCATGCCTTACGTATGTACCCCTTCTACACTCCTAATCAGTTCTGTACGCCTTCTGTGGCAGTGTGTCCCTTTGCGTGAAGAAAATGTTCTGGTCCCTTCAGGCGGAGTCTGTCCCCAGAATACACTGACTCATATCTGGGGGGAGAAGGTAACCTGTCCCTCACCACACCAGAGGTCCCTGTGCGGAAATACTGCTCTTAAGAACATGACAGTTTACTGTGTGAAAGAAGACCAAGGTCCAGCTAGTTTGCCTTTCATCATTCACCCACAAAATACACAGTCAAACCACTTTATAGTATATTGTGTGAAGCACTTTGAGACATCTCGAAGACGTGATAAGGCGCTATATCAAATGCAAGGATTAGTATTATTATTATTATATCACTTGACATGTCATGTCCCAAACTACTCTGTATCCACCCCAGATATTATTTTCTAGTAGAAATCTGTCTCATTTGTTCTTGAAACAAACAACACTTTCTGCTTCCACCGTCCTCTTCCCTGGGGAGCCTGTTCCGTTACGTTTACTACTCTTCACTCCTCAGGCTACATGTTCCTCACACCCCTACCAACCTGTCCACTCCCTCCGCTCAGTGGGCTCCGACCAGCTTCATAATCCCCCGCCTCGCCCACACCAGCATTAGTGGGCAGGCCTTCAGCCTCTCTGCCCCCACCCTCTGGAACTCATCCCACAGTCCCTCCGCCTCGCTCCCTCCCTCCCTTGCTTCCTTCAAAACCCATCTCAAGATCCTCCTTTTCGACTGGCCCTTCGGTCACCCTCCCACCCCTACCCCACCCTGCCCTCCACCCCTCCTGATCCCAACCACCAGCTCGGGTGAGGACCCCTGACTGTCCAGCGCCTCGGGACGTGCTCGTGACGTGAAAAGGGCGCCGTGTAAATGTTGTGTGTTGTTGTTGTTCCAGGTGGGAGAATGAGCTGATGCTTCGCCAGTCTGTGGAGAATGACATCGGAGGCCTGCACCAGCTGAAGGAGACTTACCTGCAGCTGCAAACTGGCCTGACCAACGATATCGGGGCCCTGGAGGATGAGATCGCTTACCTGAAGAAGAATCATGCTGAGGTGGGTGGGTCTCGGGCTTTGCGCCACACGTAGCATTGCTTCCCAAGCGCCATAACCGTCCTCCTGCGTGATCCTGCGGGGAAGAAAGACACTCCCGTTACAGCAGCGCCCAACATCCCACGTTCACCCAACATTTCTATATATTTCTCTGAAAAAAAATGAATCAGAATAATTTGGTCACTCAATCCACCAGTTTGTGGGACACACAAAATGATACAGTCACTACACTTTACCGTGTATCTCATGAAGCGTTTTGAGACGTCTCGAAGACATAAGGCGCTGTGTCAAATGCAAGGATTATTATTATTACTTTTGAGCCGATACCTCTCTTTTTGATCGTGCTTATGGTCACCTCCCACCCTCACCCTCAGCTGCGCTGTATAAATGCAAGTTGTTGTTGTCGTCCCCCTTCTCCCTGTTGTCAACGTGCTGCCACCTAGTGGTGCAATAGTGCTCTGCCTGATGGCATGGAGAGAGGCATTCAAGTGGTACCCAAAGTGGCCGGGAAGGGCAGTCGGTGCTGCTGGCTGACGTGCGGGGCTTGTGTTTCAGGAGCTGAGGATGCTGAGGCAGCAGAAGACTTCAGATGTGCAGGTGGAAGTGGACTCCAAGCCCTCCATCAACCTGCAGGAGGTGCTGAACAAAATCAGGGAAGATTACAATGGTATGGTCAACAAAAATCAAGGCGATATGGAGACCTGGTACAAAGTGCAGGTACGACAGACGCAGAGAGAGAGAAAGCGCCGTGCTGGTTACAGTGACCTGAAAAGGTGGTGGAACCAGATTCAATAGCAATTTTCAAAAGGAAATCGGATAGGAACCTTTAAGAGGAAAAAGTTGCAGGGGGGGTGGGGGGGGGGGGGGGGGGAGTGGGACTGATTGGGTGGCTCGATGGGCCGAATGGCCTCCTTCTGTGCTGTAATATTCTACGATTCCACGAATGTCTTCCAACCACTTCATCGCTTTCTGTTTTTTTTGAAGCTTGAAACCAAGTCGGTGGAGCAGGCTCAGGACAACCAGGCCTTAGAAGCAGCGAGGCACGAGGTCTCCGAATACCGTCGGCAAATGCAGAACCTGCAGGCTGAGTACGATGCCATGCTCGGCAGTGTAAGTCACGTTCCTTCCACTTCTTTTCTTTAAAGGAAGGTTTAAACCCCTTTTACTCCCTGGCACCTTCCTTACCTCCTCACTCCCCGATCCACCACCCGGCCCCCTCTGCTTGTCCCTTGCTCCCTCCGCTCCACCATTGGAGGTCGGGCATTCAGCCACTACTCCCCAAAACTCTGGGACACTCTCCCTCAATCCTCCGCCTTGTCCCCTCTCTCCTTTTTCAAATCCTTCCTTTTCGACCGTGCTTCAGGCCTCCGGGGCCCTCCTGCTCGGAGTCAGGCTCCGCCACTGTTAAGCGCTGAGACGCTACCGTGCGAGGAGGGCGCTATATCAGTGCAAGTTGTTGTTTCAGAAACACCAGCTCCTAGTGTGAGCTTCCTCATCCTACTCTAACACAGGACCTTGCTCCGTCTCTCTCTCTGTCTGTCTATCTCTCTCTTAGCTCGGCTCTCTGGAAGCCGCCCTGGCAGACACAGAGAGGAGGTACGATCAGGAGCTGCAGGGATACCTCTTCAAAGAGGGAGCCTTGAATGACGAGCTGAGGAGAATCAGGAATGAAATCAACCAGCAAGCAAATAATTACCAGCAGTTGCTGAACATGAAGATGAAGCTGGAGCAGGAGATTGTCATGTACCGACAGCTCCTGGACGGCGGTGCGCAAAGGTAGGTCAATAATGGCGACTTTGCTGCCAATTACTGTGCCACTTACGTAAGAACGTAAGAAACGCTAGACGCAAAAACAGACCCCAATCCATCTAGTTCGCCTTCCAACCTTCCTGGCGGTCGCCACACACATACGTCCCTGCCTCTCATTGGAATATTGGTGGCCAAGCGTTCAGAAAGCAAGCTCCCTCACCCTCGCTCCCACTTCAAAACTCTCAAAGAATCTTTACTGTTGATTAAAAAAAGACGGTGGGATTTGCTGTGTAGATGGGCCTGCGCTATTCAGGAGAGAGCGAAGGTGAATGAATGGAATAATATTGTTGCAGAGATAACAATTCTGTGCTTCTCCCTCAGCTCAATATCCGGCACGTCTTCCTCCAGTATCTCGTCTGGTGAGTAAATGCTTCCTAACCCCGTATCAGCCAGTCCGCTCCCTCCCGCTTGGCGGACACCGGCCTGCTTCAGGTCCCCCGCACTTCCCCGGCCCACCCTTAGCGGTTGGGCATTCAGCATTTTTGCCCCCACATTCTGGAACTCTGTCCCGCAATCCCTCTGCCTCACCCTCTTTCGTGCCCCTTTCAAGCCTGTCTACAAATCTTCCTCTTCGACCGCGCCTTCGACCACCCTCCCACCCCCCACCCTGCCTCCAATTCCCAGCTCGGGACTTTCCGACGGTCTTTCCGACGCAAAGGGCACTATACAAATGTAACTTGTTGCTGTTGTTGTGCTAACTCCTCTCTGATTTTCTTCCCAAAGGAGGCGGAAGCAAGAGCACAATAATCATGTAAGTCATTCACTCTCGTACAGTAAACAACTGAAGAAGGCAGTGTTGTGTGCCGTGTGTGAGGAGCAGTGGGTGTGTGTGAGTTGTGTGTGTGAGGATTGGAGTATGTGTGTCTGTGTGTGTGTTGGGGAGTATTGATATAGCACCTTATCACGTCTTCGAGTCGTCTCAAAGCACAGGTTATCACAGACACTAACTAACTGCTCCTCTTTTCTTCCCTCTATTTTAGCAAAACGACCGAAGGTAAATACAGTAAAACTTCCACCCTTTTTACGTGATTTGCATTTTGTTTCTACTTTATGGTTCCATCCTGTTACCACACACAAGTGGCCATTTTCCATGTGTTGGTGTTGATGGGGGTGGGGTGGGGGGAGGAGAGATGGGTGCTCTCACCTGACATCCACACGTGTCCCTCCCAGCAGTGATCAGGGGAACTGAGGCAATTGTAGCCCTGACTGCTGCCCTGGCTGAGAATAACAGCACAGACACCTTCCTCCTCTATGTGACCCATGTGATGCCACTCCCTACTGGGCCACTGGGAGAAGCCAGAAGCCCCTCTTCCATTACTGTGAATACTTTTTCTTTACATCCAGGCTTGACTATGCAAACTCCCTGCTTGTCGGCCTCCCCAACTCTTCCCTCCACAGGCTGCAGATTATCCTGAACTCTGCAGCCCGTGTCCGCACCAGACTCCTTGACCCTATCTACCCCATCCTCGCCCGGCTCCACTGCCTTCCCATCACACAGAGGATACAGTTCAAAATCCTGGTCCTCGCCTACAAAGCCCTCCATGGTCTTGCTCCCACCTTACCTGCGTCCTCCTAACCCCCTACCATCCTGCTCGCTCCCTCCGCTCAGCGGGCTCCGGCTTCCTTCACGTCCCCCATCTCACTCACCCCACTATTGGCGGGCCGTCCGTCTGCCAGTCTGCCCCTACCCTCTGGAACTCCATCCCACAATACAAGAGGATTACATTTGTATAACGCCTTTCACGCCTTGCCCCCTCCCTTGCCTCCTTCAAGACCCATCTCAAGATCCTCCTCTTCAACCGTGCTTTCGATCACCCTGCTTCCCCAGCCCCCGCCCTCCACCCTCCCCGATCTCGACCCCCAACTCGACGGAAAACTCAACCAAAACTATAGAATATACTGTAAAGTGAATTGCCTGTATATTTTGTGGGTGAAACATGGCAGTTATTTACTATTATATTTTTTGGAAGGAAATTTACTATGGTATTTACCAGGCAGCTGTGAAGGTCACTAACTCTTGTCTTGTCTTGTCCTCACAGAAGTTAATGAGGTTACAAGTTAAAGATCATGGCCTCGCTCGCTATCACCAAGAAACAAGCTTGTACCCGCTCGGGCACAATGCCCGTGTGGCAGCTTCAGCTGGTGTCTGGGAATGTGGATCTTTGCCAGCAGCCCCCTGCCTGGCTTCATACTTTCCTCTTGTTCTATTCCTCTTCCTGTGACAGTGCGATTCCCAACTCCTGAGTATACAAAGCAATGGGGTCCCATCCCACTGTTGCGCTTGACATTAAGTTCAGCACCTCACTGGGGCAATGTCAGTGCATCGCGCCGATGCCATCAACAACAACAACTTGAATTTATATAGCAGCCTTCACGAGCCATACCGTTTCACAATGGCGGCGTCTACCATCCCTCTTATCGCTGCTGGGGTGCTCAGTTGTTATGGAAAACAACCTGGGCTGTTGCAACCCCAGTAGTTTGGAAACCGCAAGCAGACAGCAGGTCAACACACATAAAAGTAAATTGTTTTACTGGAGATCCAATACAGCAGATGCCCTTGTCCCCATTACTTGTGTCTCTCACTCCCCAGGAGCCCTGATCCACGTCGCCTGTCTCCCTTACTCCTCTCCCTTGGCTGCTCTGTTTTCCAAATATTTTCACATCTGTTCATTGTTTAAGCAAAGCTGATCAATAAATATCTTTCTGCTCTTACTGGTGGTGCAAAGCAATTGAGTTCATTGATAACAGTAGAATCAAAGATCCAAGCACAGACTCATAATGTGGTGACTAAATCAATGCTTGAGGACTGGGCTGTGCATGATTTGATATATTTGCTTACTTTGGGGGGAGTGGGGGTAAGTAAAGAAGTAAAGAACAATTCTTAAATTCAGTCTTCATTTGAAATTCAAAAAATTCCAAAAAGATCCAGCTTTTAATCTTAAAACTGAATCTTAATATTTCCACAATTTTAAGATAAAATTGTCTCACAGGCTAAACTACTGGTTATTTGGGGCCTAAGCAATCTAGGGGCCCTAATATTAACATTAGGCAGTTAGAAAGGAAATTAGAACACATTTTATCACACAGAAGGCAGAATAGATTGGGATGGTGCAAAGGGGAGGTAGAGAGATACTCGGGAAGTATCTTAAGTACAAGGGTTATGGAGAAGAGATGGGGAAATGAGATTGAAAAATCTGACATGATCTAAGAAACTGGTAGAAAGAACAGGCTTGGAGAAAAGGAATTGAAAGAGTTGTCATAGACTTAAGGACAGAGCGGACTGGATTGGCTCAATAGCCTCCTGTTCCTGTGTTCTCTTACCGCTCGCTCCTTCCCACTTACTGGCAATGTGTAAGTGCAGATAGGAATCCTTGCTCCAAGTCTGGGATTTCTGGCCGATTTCCCATTATTCCCAGCCCAAAGCCACTGAGGCCAATTAGAATGCCCACCCCACCCCGGCTGAGATCGACCAACTCAGCACAGACCAGTGGTCGAACCTGAGACCTCTCTGGTCTGCATGGCTCAGTGGATTTGAATGTACTGTGAAGTGAACTGACTGCATATTTTGTGGGTGAAAACATTACTGACACACCGAGCCATCGGGGGAACCCTTTACTTCCACATATTAACTGGATTTCTGTTGTTTCTATCTATGATGTTGTGTCAAAACACCACCATTGAATGTATAGGCTGCTTTTCAGAGGTGAGGTCTACACTTCCTAGCCAGACAGGCTTCTGACCTATAAGCAGGACCTTGCAGACCTGCCTGTCTTGTCTGCTCAAATCCAATTCAACCCAAGGAGAACACATCTCTCCTCGAAAGAGCTGATTAAATCAATTCAGTCTAGAACTGCTGGTTCCAAATTCAATGCTCACAGGAACAGAGGCTGCCATTCAGCCCATTGAGCCAGTTCTCCCATTACTAAATATGACCACTCTTCTTTCCTTATTTCTTTTTTTTGCCAATCCCTCAATAACTATATACCGAACAAGAGAGAGCAGTTGGTCCCATTTACTCCAGCAATACCCTTCATACCTAAATCAGGTTGCAGCTCAAGCACGTTACGGACTGGATTGACATCAAACAAAGGGATTAGATGCAAGATATTTATTGATAAAGGCATTGAATAAGTGAGAACATTTAGTAACTCAGAGCAGCCGAAGGCTTGTGGAGGCAGACGCACACACGGTGGGGTGTTGGGGCAGAACTACTTCCTATAGTGGAAGTGAACCAGAAGACAGTTGCTGCGATGGTCTTTGATTGGCAGTAGTGACATAACAAACCTTGTCAGCGCAATCTTCGACTTGTCCCCTGTTTAGAGACCGTCCAATGACCAACACCAACTGCTGGATGATGATGCTGCAGCCAACAGCAATCTTCACTGTCCCCATCTCAGGTCAGGTCTTGGGTGAAACCATTTACTTTTAAAGAGAGCATGTACTGTGCTATCTCACTCTCCACACAGAGGGGATTGCCCCTGGAAACGTACAGCCAGTTACACATTGAGTTTTCAGAGAAGCGTTAGGAGGAAGTAAAGTAAGTCAAGAAGTCAAGCGGGTGGGAGATGTGGTTGGCACAGTGGATGTTGGTGCCAGGAGCACACCTTAATGCGGGCGAGCAGGGGCGTGTCTTTGATCCTCAGTAGCGAATTTTGCTTTCTGTGAACAAGTCAATGATCTGATTCAGATTTTCGAAAAGGAGCTTTCAAAACCATTTACAATCTTGGCCGCTGACATCCACGCTTAATAATTTTACACTCTCCTCTCCCCTAATACCTCCAGTCCCTCTTTACTCCGGTGCTATCCATCAGTACTCCTCACTGTGTTAAACTCCAGACATCACACTGTCTCTCACTGACAATGAATCACTGTGTACTTCTTCCTGCACTCTACAGGACTCCCTCCCTCTCCCTTATCACTCCATCCCAAGTGCTCCAACACCCACCCTATGTTAAGGGGGCTATTTAAACGCAAGTTATCGTGGTTCCTAAACTCCACAGAAATTCTCCCTTTCGAACTCTTCCCTTCCTCATATGGAACACTCTTGTGTAGTCTTGCCTTTATCCACTAAAAGAGGGTAAGAGCCTAAAAGGCGAGTCTGTAACAAATGCCCCTAGTGAAGTAAGAGTTAATTACCTTTTGTTGTGGTGCTCCTGCAAGTAAAAGAGTAAAGAGCGGTTAGCGCCTGCATCGCATGCTCACACATGAACTCAAAGATCACAGATCACACCAATCCAGAGTTAGCAATAAAGAAAACTTAAAGGTTGTGGCTTTTTCCTTCCCGTCTAATAATCCATCTACTTCTCCTCCCAAGTTGCACCTTTTTCTAGAGGATTGATTTTGCTGAAGTGGTCAATTTTCCCATCTCATCCAAGCAATCGTTCTTCATGACAGGGAGGGTCAGCAGGGCAATCAACAAGCCAGCTCCAGTTTGTACCCACAAGCCTTCCACAGGCCGAGGAGCTATCAGAAATCTTGGCTAATTGTCCTTCCCTATCGTGAAAGCTACTTGCAGCTCCAATGGCTGCTCTGGCTTAGCACAGTAAGACTTAATCCTTGGTGTGGCTAAGTACTGGCTTTACCCACTAAGCCAACATAGAGGTTGTCGTGTTCCTGAGGCTAACTGCCTGCAGAACGCTCGTCACTTAAGTAATAAAATATTATTTGAAGGCACATAGTGTGAGGGAATGTTTATCCTCTTTAATTTATGACATTCATATGCAGGCATTGGCCAACCATGTTGGATTTGCTGGCAATGAAATGTTACAGTGACATATTTCGTCAATTTCCCCATCTCCCTGATTCCAAGAGAGGGTCAACATTCACGAGAGCCCTGATAATAATAATCCTTGTATTCGATATAGTGCCTTATCACGTCTTCGAGACGTCTCAAAGCGCTTCACACTATCTACTGTATATTTTTATGGGCAAAACGCAGCAGTCAATTGGGCACAGCAGTGTCCCACAAACATTTGTGGATTGAGTGACCAAATTATTATTAATAATATCTTATATAACATCTAAAATCAGGAGGTAAACTCACATGGTAATGATTTGACTGCCACCAGTTCCACCTGAATTAGGAAGAAACATAGACGAGTCAATAAACAGAAGGAAAGGTTATTTACAATTAAACAGCACAGGTTTTAGGCAATAGCCCATCAGGTTACCCACCCAAGTTCCCCGAATATTCCTTCCACACATCCATAAACTAATAGCCTAATAACTCCAAATCCTTTTGATTGTAAGGGACTAGTCCAGTTGGGAGTTAAACATGCATAGCCCTTTCGTGGCCTGAGATGATCAGGTGTTCTCCGAAACCCTTTCAGTTCTGGCTGGAAACAGTCGTCAATTTAGCAATAGTAAGCCGAGACTTCATTCAGCTGGGATCACCCACCCTCCCAGGGCTTTGGCTTGCTGGTTTCAGGACAATAACTACACCTAAACTCAACAATAAATAATAATAACAAATAATAATCCTTGCATCTGATATATTATGTCTTCGAGACGTTTCAAAGCGCTTCCCAAAATATACTGTAAAATGAATTTTGTAGGCAAAATGATTACTACGGGGTGACCAAAAAGTCGTGATACCATTTATTTGAATAATAACTTTAGTTCTTCATCGTTTCTTTAAGACTTATTAGATATTGTAATGGGATCACAACTTTTTGGTCACCCTGTTGTTGCTTTGTCAATGTATCTTCAAAGCCAGTTCAACCCAGGGAGACAACCCTTTACTCCAAAAGCCTCCCCTCCAGAGACTCTACATATCTCCTCTTAATAAGTGTGTATCAGACATGCCGCTCATTTTATCATGATTAATAAGCTTCAGAGCTGAGGGCAGCTGAGCTGCTATTGCTTGGGCCCTCAGGAGCGAGAGAAGGGGTTACGGGGGTGACTGAAAGACCAAATGTGAAACACACCTCATGATCCAAACTATCTCAACTTCAAATCAAACCCAACACTTACCAGATTGCATAGAGGTTGATGAGGACATTCCTGAGCCACCTGATGAGCTTGAGACAACACTGCTCGTATTGAGAACAATGCAGAGAGTTCATTATTATACAGAAATTACACCAGATACATTCACTCACTTCAGTATAACGATAAGATTGTGTTGCACTGTTAGGATTATTACTCCCAGAAAACGACCCGCCAATCGACTGACATCCGGGTTTCCACTTACTGCTAGGTAAATAAAGATGTGTGTGTGGAGTAAGGAAACTATTCCAACGTTAACTACTAATTAGGGTTAAACAGGCAAGGGTCTTTGTACTAAAATTAGAGGTACTCATTGCAGATTCATTGGACAGAGAGAGCAGGATGGTGCCAAGTATGTGAGTGTTTGGAGTGCTGGATGGATGAGATGCTTTTATTTATTCGTAGACAGGTGTACCTTTGTCCACCACCATCCAGGAGCTGTCTGTAAACGGAAATCTCCTGCTCCAGCTTCATCTTGATGTTCAGCAAATCCTGGTAACTTTTCACTTGCAGGTTGATTTCATTCCTGATTCTCATCAGCTCCCCTTCCAAGTTCGATACCATGCACATGTAGCCCTGCAGCTGTTGGTCGTACCGGATTTCTGTGTCTCTCAGGGAAGCTTCCAGAGAGCCGATCTAGGAGAGAGGGGGAGAGAGAGAGCGGTTCTATGTTAGAGGAGGGTGAGGAAGCTCACACTAGGATCGGGCATTTCTGAAACCTTCCTTTAAAGAAAAGAAGTGGAAGGAGCGTGACTTACACTGCCGAGCAGGGCGTCGTACTCAGCCTGCAGGTTCTGCATTTGCCGACGATATTCGGAGACCTCGTGCCTCGCTGCTTCTAAGGCCTGGTTGCCCTGAGCCTGCTCCACCGACCTGGTTTCAAGCTTCAAAAAAAACAGAAGGCGATGAAGTGGTTGGAAGACATTCTCAGCAAGTAACACAAGAAATACTAAGACGAAAAATAGAGGTAGTTCGCCTTCCACCTTCCTGGCGGTCGCTTGCACATATGTGCCGCACTACCTATGTACTACATCCCATAATGTTATTTCCACAGCTCCCTCCCCACTCCATGCCACACTCCCTCATAGTCCTCTTTATCAAACATCAGCTCAATTCCTCCTGAAAGAATTTCAGGGATTCTGCTTTTCAGCTATGGTTTGTAGCGGAGAATTGCACCGTCTGACTGACCACCGCCCCCCCCTCTCTCTTTCTCTGTGCAGGTCACTGTAACCAACATGGCGCTTTCTCTCTCTCTGTGTCTGTCTTACCTGCACTTTGTACCAGTTCTCCATATCGTTTTGATTTTTCAAGACCACAGCATTGTAATCTTCCCTGATTTTGTTCAGCACCTCCTGCAGGTTGATGGAGGGCTTGGAGTCCACTTCCACCTGCACATCTGAAGTCTTCTGCTGCCTCAGTATCCTCAGCTCCTGAAACACAAGCCCCGCACGTCAGCCAGCAGCACCGACTGCCCTTCCCGGCCACTTTGGGCAACAACAACCAATTGCATTTTACACAGCGCCCTTCACGCTGTTTATCGTCCCGGAGCGCTTGACAGTGGCGGAGCACGACCTCCGAGTTGGACAGAGGGGATGGTGACCGTAGACACGGTCGAATAGGAAGGTCTTCATGCGCAAACTGGAGATGGAGAAAGCAGGGGCAGGGCAAGGGTGCCTCTGAATGCCTCCCCACGGGGGGGAGGGAAGAGGACGAATGCTCCCGAAAGGGAGGTGTTAGGGGCAACACATCAGCACTAAGGTTTGCGGCCAGAAATTACGGACAAAGAATCCTGATATGGATCAATATTGCATGCGGTTGGAGAGCCCAAGACCCACCTCTGCATGGTTCTTCCTCAGGTAAGCGATCTCATCCTCCATCGCCGCAATGTCATTGGTCAGGCCGGCTTGCAGCTGCAGGTAAGTCTCCTTCAGCTGGTGCAGACCTCCGATGTCATTCTCCACAGACTGACGAAGCATCAGCTCGTGCTCCCACCTGTACCAAGAGAGGGGTATGAGGAGCCTGGCACTGCGGGGGAAGGGGGTTATGGGAGGCATTCTCCCCTAATCCCTACTCTCCTCCACACCCTTGTGACCCAGCACTGCTCAAGAGTGACCTTGGAAGGATGGGAGGGAGCATAATAATAATAATAATCCTTACAGTTGATGTAGCGCCTTATAACGTCTTCTAGATGTCTCAAAGCGTTTCACAGCATATACTGTCAAGTATATATATATATATATATTTTTGGCTGAAACGTGGCAGCCAATTGCGCACAGCAGCGTCCTGCAAACGTTCATGGATTGAAGTGACCAAATTATTTTTGGTCACTCCTAACATCCAACATCCTGGGGCAGGAGCAGAGCAAGAGATACGTACTTGCTCCTGAAATCCTCAGCAGCCAGCTTGGCGTTGTCGATCTCCAGAGCGATGCGAGCACTATCCATAATGGAGGCCTGAATCTGCAACAAATAACATAGCGTAAAATAATCCTTACATTTTACACATACTTTCACATAGTATTTTCAAAGGATGTACGGTGTGGAGTGAATGTATGTTATGGCAGCCAAATTGTTATTGCAGTTTCTCCACTCTTGTGAGGGTGGATCAAACCCTCTAACGCCCAATCCCAACTAACAGAGGGCCGAAGACAAAGCATTCTCGGTAAGCGGCACTTTGTGGCAGCTTCAGTCATCTGACACCTGGTGCTTAAGGGATGGTGACTGATGACTCCTGGTTTGAGAACATAGAGCCTTGCTTACATTGTCAGATCCTTCCTCCTCCCACTGGGGCACTGAGGACTGTTATAGGAACAGGCACCAGCAAGCTGACGCTTATGGCTAAAGCATTGAGAATGTTGCTCGCTCTCTCTCTCTCTCTCTGTTATTCTTCCTGTTATTTCTGCTGCCTTATTTAAATGGAACTAGGGAAGGAACCTCTTTGTTTATCTTGCTGGACAAATGCCAGTACAACAGGAATTGTCCCCTCTCACATGCAGTCTGCAGCAATCTGCAGTATAGTTTCACATCGATCCACAAGTTAAATAGCGAGAAACTATCTTCACTGAGAGGGCACAATTGTTAGTAAGACATTACCAAAAAAACAAAGAGAATGTTTAAGAGATTTGTTTGTGCAGCAGCCTTGCAATAGGATATCCAAAATCCCACCAAAGTCAGATTGCTAAACACTATCTTGGGTGATGACATCAAACTTGGCCTGGCTTGTTCTCTCCTTACAAATCTTCCCTTGTTTATCAATAATCTCACATTTCAGCTATTTCCCCTTCATGCTCAAGCCTTTGCTTATCCAGTTCTTTTTGAATTAATCTATTGATTCGGCCTCCACATCCATTTGTGGGAAAGTATCCCAAATCCTAACAAGTCTCTGAGTGAGTGAAGAAATCTCTTCTAACATCCTGCCTGATTCTTCTGCTAACAATATTCAAACTGTTACCCCCTTATCACCCATTCCCCAAATAAAGGCAATTTTTTTTTCCTATTTACCCTGTGATACCTTTCAGTATCTCGATCGCCTCAATTACATCCCCTCTCAATCTCTCGGCTCCAGTAGAAAAAGTTCCAATTTAGCTGAGCTCTTTTTCTATGTACATTGCCTTATGTCTTGTACCATCTCAGTGAGTGAGTGAATCTCTTACCTGAAGCTGTAGGGGTTTCACTGTGGTATCGTAAATACTCCAGTCAAAGCCATCGATGCTGGAGCCGCTGCTAGCCTCACGGATCTTCTTCTCTAGGAGCCTATTGGAGTCTTGCAGCGATTGCACCTTGCTCAGGTAGTTGGCCAGGCGCTCGTTCAGGTTCTGCATGGTGTCCTTCTCATTGCCCACAATGCCACTCCCTCCTGTTAGGGACCCAATGGATATCCCACCTCCGTAACCATATCCACCTCCCAAATTATGTGCACTATATCCACCTCCCAAACCACATCCCATACTGTACCTCATTCCATGACCAAATCCACCATACCCTCCCCTCCCTGCATACATACTGCAGGAACTCATTATTGGCTTAACCCTGGCGGTGGTCAAAGAGTGGCTGGAAAAGCTGCGGCCGCCACCACCGGACAATAAGGAAGATCCTTGGTTCCCGCCGCTGCTGATTTTCTTGGTGGTGGTGATGGTGCTTCTACGCGACATGATCAGGCTGTTGGAGGCGAGAGAGCTGCTGAAGAGCAGGAGATGCTGAATGAAGCCTTGGTCTGAAGCTCAGTGACAACCCTGAGAGGCTGTGGGTCTATATAGTGAGTGAAGGCGGGACCTCAGCACTGTAAATCCACACCCAGACACTAGAATTGGCAGCAGCACAAAGGCTGGGCCGCTATGACACACTTGTTCCTGTCAGCACTGTCCCTCACTCCCTTGCACCTGCCCGGCAGGCTGGCAATCTGAAACGTGAAGAAGTTCAAGCTAACCTATCAATTGCACATTAATAAGTAGCTGCATTGCTATAATAATGTTGCCAGTCTCCAGATCACACGATGAGAGATTAGGGTGGAATGTTTAGAATCTTTCCTTTCCCTTTACCACTTTGGGGTGAATATACTTGATTAGTTGTGTGTTTGGCTCTGGTTCGCATCTCTGGGGCATCTCTGGACTGTGGGTTTAAGCTCCAAGTGAGGACTTCGAGCTCACAGACCAGGCTGAGCTCTCATGCAGTTTTGAAGGTGCCATCCTGAAGAACTAGCTGCCTGCCCGTTTGAGAGATCTTTAAAGATCCCCACACAACATTATTTGCAAAAAGAAGGGAGGTTCTCATCAAAAAAAAGCACTAGATCAAATACAAGGATTATTATTATTATTATAAAAATCTTCCAGATAAATAACTTGTTTACTTCAAGGGGGCTTTGTGAAGCTTTGCTGTGTGAACACTGGCTGCCAACATTTTGTATGAGTACAAATACAGAATCACTGCACTTGACAGCAAATCCCTATGAAGCACATTAACACATTTTGATATAGACACTGTATGAAATGTGCGGGTTGTTAGCAGATGCCCTGTACCATTTGTTTTGCACGTTATGCCAACGTGTTCTCAGCATTTGTAACATCAGTAACATGTCTGGCATGTGGCTTCTATCTTTAATTAATCAGGTTACAAACAGCCCTTTGGCTGTGCTATCAGAAAGAACAGGAAGGAGAGGGATGCTGGTGTTGGTTGAATAATAATAATAATCCATGCATTTGACATAGCGCCTTATCACGTCTTCGAGACGTCTCAAAGCGCTTCCCGGGATATACTCCAGAATAGGCACAATCGGATGGGTACAACAGCTCTCTCCATTCAGTCTCCACTGCCCTTCCCACATACCTTTCATGTTTTGTTTGTAAAATGTTGTCTAGTTCTATTTTAAAAGCTTTATAGATTCAGCTTCAACCAGCATTTTTAGGCATTTCACGTCCAAAAACAAAATTCTAACCTTTCCTTTTGTTTTATACAATCATGTTAAATTGTTGCTCTCTGGTTACCAGCTCATTGATCAGTGCAAACCATTTCTCCTTATTCACCTCACCGAAATCCTTTACAGCCCCTTTGAACACCTCTATCAGATCTCCAGCAGCTAAGGGTTAAAGTGGCAAAGCTGCTGAACACCACAGGTGCAGACAGACATTTTTCACGACCTAGCACATTCCTGTCCCGGTCTGTGAGAAGAAGGCAAGATAATTGAAGGTTTGTAATGTAATGAAAGGATGGGTGTGGAGAATAATACAATGTGGTGTAACTGCTTTGAAGCCACACCTGGATGAGGCTGTGATGGTACATTTCTACAAGGCATTGGTTTGGTCATAGAGCTTGCAATGTCCAGGTTTGCGTGCCCCATTACAGATGTGGAAAGGGGATAGGGTAGATTCACTAGGAATATGTAATTTGTTGTTGTTGATACCAGGCATGAAAGGTCACAGTTAGTAGGAAAGACTTGGAACATTAGGACTGTTTTTGCTGCTGAGAAAACTAAGAGGGGGGGACTCTAAAACAGTATAAGCTAGGGAGAGTTTGATAGAGGATGAAGGATAGAGGGGTGAAAACCTGGCCTAAATTAATCCACTCCAAATTAACACTTAAGAGTCCTATAGCTTAGTGGTTAGAGCACTCGCCTCGCAAGCTAGGTCAGGACGAAATGTTGGGCAAGTTCTCTTACTCCACACACATGCCTCTGTTTACTTACCAGTAAGTAAGAAACCAAAAACAATAATTAAATTGGTCATTTTTCAATCTACGACTGTTTGTGGGACATTGCTGTGCGCAATTGGCTGCCGCGTTCGCCCACAAATATACAGTCAATTCACTTTACAGTGTGTTCTGTGAAGCGCTTTGGGACGTCCTCCCGACGTGAAAAGCGCTATATCAAATGCAAGGATTATTAGGATTATTATTAAGATCCTGCTTGTTAATTGATTGACGGATTGGTTTTTGGGGGTAATAATCCCTTCAAAATAAAACAAATTGGTCACTCAATCCACAACTGTTTATGTGCAATTGGCGACCGCGTTTTGCCCATAAAACACAGTCACTACAGTTTACAAAAGCGCTTTGAGACATCGTGAAGATGTGATAAGGTGCTATATCAAATACAAGTATTGTTATTATTTAGTATTATTATCCATACATATTAGTGGTTCAATCAAATCCATTTGACAGACTAACTGGACTGATCAGAGAGCATAAATTGAGGATAAACATGAGAAGAAATGTGTTTATACAGAGGATTATTAGAAAGCAGAATGCCTGATATCATTTAGAAAGAAATTGAATACGAATTTGATGGAAAACAATATGTAAGGGAGAGGGAATAGGATAGCCCCAGTAAGGGAACTAACACAACACAGTCATGAGAGCAAACTGCCCCTGAATCTATTGCCTCACAGTGTAACCCTGTGATTCCATCCCTCTACCCCTCTCTATCTGTCTTTAAACTCCCCTTAAAACCTACCTCTTTGACAGCACCTATGGTCAGCTCCCCTTCCCCTTCATCCTGCCCGGTGTCTAACCCAGTCTTTGTAAAGAGCAATGAGACGACAACAACAACAAATTGCATTTATATAGCTCCTTTCACATCAGGAGGACATCCCAAGGTGCTGGAGACATTATCCTATGTGAATGGCACTGTATAAATACAAGCTGATGTTCTTGTTGCACCTTGCTGCTCCCTTTCCTAGAGTTGAGGTCAATTGTTGCTCCTGAGATCAGTAATTCAGCATAGAGTGAGATGTGAGACTGCAAGCCTCTGGTCTGTGTGGTTTAGATATAGACAGGACCCATTAGAAGATCTCAGGACGAACATAGGAACTGAATTTCACCTCCTGCCCTCTCAGTGGGTGCTGTGCCAGGGTGTGCTGGGTAGTGCAAGAGCTGCAATTCAAGGTTATCAAACAGCCCAAAAGAACATTTACCTTGGTTCAATAGTTATCAGCTGGGATGTAGGGAGTCAGACATCCTGTGCTGAGTGAGAAAATGAGATCAACGTGGCCCACCAGAATAAACATTCCTGAAGAATGGCACAGACTAGATTGTGGTCATTAAACAAACCTCACTCTCAATTTCTATAGTGTCAAATTCAAGGATTCAAATGCTGGGACTGCGGTCATTGTCACATGTAATCATGCACACTTAATCTCTGTTTATGTGGGTGTCTGTGTGGGTGTTTGTGTGTTTATTAAAATGTAAGGATGATTATTTGTAGTCTTTTAAACTGTGCGTTTTGAAACACTGCCTGCAGGTGGCAACAAACCTGGGGTACTTCTTGGAATGTGAGCTCAAATCAGCGGGATTCAAGCTCACCATCCAGGCTGACACTTTGGTGTGGTACTGGGGGGGGGGGGGGGAAGAAAAAACAAGTTGGAGGTGCCACCTCTTTCAGGCGATAAATTCCTTCTGCTTGTTCAGGAGAACATTACAGGATCTGCAAGACTATTGGAAATACATAATAATAATAATAATCCTGGCATTTGATATAGTTGCCTTATCATGTCTTCCAGAAAGTGCTTCACAGAATACACTGTAAAATGAGAAGATTTCCTCCCAGTGTCCTGACCTTACCAACAATCCTATTAACAACAAGGGCTTGGAGAGGGTGCAGAGGAGATTTACCAGAATAGTATCAGGAATTAGGGACTTTAGGTGGAGAGTTGAGAGAAGCTGGGATTGTTCTCCTTAGAGCAGAGGTTAAAAAATGATGTGTTCAAATTTATGAGAGGTTTTGATAGAGTAGATAGGGAGAAACTGTTTCCACTGGCAAGTGGGTTGGTAACCAGGGAACAGAGATTCAAGATAATTGGTAAAAGAACCAGAGGGGAGATGAAGAGAATTTTTTATACAGAGAGTTGTTACGGTCGGAATGCACTGCCTGGAAAGGGTGGTGGAAACAGATTCAATAACAACTTTCAACAGGGATTTGGATAAGTTCTTGAAGAGGAAACATTTGCAAGGATACGTGGAAAAAGCGGGAGAGTGGGACTGTTTGGGTAGGTCTTCCAAAGAGCTGGCACAGGCACGATGAGCTGAATGGGCTCCTTCTGTGCTGTAACATTCTGTGATTCTATGAAATTGGTCATTCACTTCATGGCTGTTCCTGTGATCCCATGGTGGGCAAAATGGCTGGCCACATTTGCCTTCAAACACATAATTACCACCTTTGAAAGAAATTGCTTGGTAAGTCTTTTGAGACAGGTTTTAAGAATTTCTGGATCCAAAATGTGTGGGTTCATGGAATAATTCTTATCAGCCACTCTCAGTGAGATTTAACTGTATCGGCAAAATGCTCCTTCAGCTACAGTTGCCTATCAGCAACTTTTGTGTTTTGTCTTGTTTGTGCAGCCTAGTAACAATGAGCTCAACAAAAGGTGAGTGAGCTAGGAAACCGCCCGGGGCCCATGTCTAGGAACTGTTTATAGAGGCTCTTTGAACACAAAGAAACTTTTACATTTGTAAGAATGAACAACGCCCAAGACCAGCCTCCGCTTACACACCGAGGCTGAATCATCTCTGGCTTTTGCACCACACCCAGAATGTAAAGCCCTCAGATTTAACATGATCTGCTTTGGTCATCTTCACCATAGGCCTCCCGCTCGCTCACACTAACTCACTGAGCAGCCTCCCTCCCTCTCATACACTAACTCACTGACCAGCCTCCCTCCCTCTCACACATTAACTCACCGACCAGCCTCCCTCCCTCTCACACACTAGGGACCCTTCACAGGATATATTGGCAAATGGAGTG